AGCGATCATATTCACGATATCAATAGCGCTATAATGACCTCGTTGGATTGTGAGAGGTCTTTCGCCATATCCACGTATTCCAAGTATAAAATTCGTCGTATCGATAAACACTTTCGTGTGATATATACTATCCTTGGAATACCAAGGTCCGATCGAAGAACCATTCGATGACACCAAGTCACCTGTATTTTCCGATGTGATATGCAATTCCAATTCTGGTGCATAGTCCTTCGCAGTCCATGACATGCTTTCTCTATTGTCATTCACCGTCCACGCAATCGCATTCTGGTGAGATGGAGGTAGTTCCATAGCACTCGCATATCGAGCATTGAGCTCATTAAAACATGTGGTTGTAAGAGTATTCATCTTGATCGGGGTAGACGTATCTTCCGTTATGTAGAATTCACCACTATCGAGTACTGAGCCATCAGTTAAACGCATCGTGTATGTCGCGAGAGGCTTTAGCAGGAACCGATTATCATTCGTACGCATTTTCCAGTCATACGCAATAAAGGTGTTTGATCCTATGTACGCATGACCACCAATACCTTGATCATTCGTCATATCAGGTGGTGAATCGCTTTCAGGGTTGAACGAAGTTTCCACTGGTCGTTCGATGCACAGGTTCTGCACAGATGGAGACAGCTTGAACCATGGAGTCCAACCAAAACCATCGATCGTCGTGTCAACACTGGATCGATCGAAATACCATCCGTCTGCTTGGACATTGAAGCGAACATGATCATCCTCGATCGTCATGGATGTGAGTGGAAGCACTTTCACCATTTCAGCACCGACAGCCTCGATGAACTCGGAGAACGTGTAGTAACCGACAGGCAATGTCAACATGTGCGATTCCCTGCCATCAGTAACAACCACGTGATTACATGAGGACGACAAGTAGTAGCGCTTCGGGTTATCCACTCCTTTCACCAAGATGTCCGATTCGAATCCGAGGATCGACCTGATCTCTGGTGCATTCGTGAAATCAATCATGTAGAAGTGATCTACCGTGATGTGGAACGCATTCTCACCGCTATACACCAATTCGAACAGGGCATCACTTGCATTCAGCTTTGCAATGATCGTTTCGATGTCATATGCACCGCGTGGTATCGTGATCTCTTGAATCGTACTGCCAGCATTGATTAGCACCACTTGGTCAGTCGGCACGTTGTGCAACACGAAGTCCGTATACAACGACACAGACGAGATGTAGCACTGGTCGAACGACAGAGGATTGTCCAGCTTCACTTCCTTCTTGGTGGTATTACCGAACACTTCGATCATTGAGAACTGGTTTGCAGAAGTGACGCTATTTTCACTTTGCTCGTACACATCCTCAATCGTCAACTGGAGTTCGAATTCGCCGTTCAATCGCATCATCTTGCCATCCATATCGCGGAACACGAATATCAATTGATCAAACCGAGTGATCATTGGTATACGCACGTCTTCCACAGTTCGCACGTAGTCAGCCGTTGGATCGTCAATAATCATCGTGGTGAGCAGGTTGTTGTTCTGGTTGGCAATCTTCAGGTCCGATGATCGCACGATCGTCGAGTAGACCTGGATCACTTGGCGATTTCGCGTGATATCAATCACGTTCGATCCACTGAACGAAGCAGGTAGAATGACCGTTCGTCCATCGAAGCCGAGGATCTCACGAATGTCAGGTGCATTCGTGAAGTCAATCGTATGTGGAGACTGAATCCAGATACAGCCGAACGACGAGGCGTTAGTAGATATGGAGAATGTGGTATCGGTCATGGTATTGAGCAAGGCAATGATCTCACTGATCGTGTAGTAACCAGCAGGGATTGTCACAGTCTCGTTATTGCTGTTAGTAATCATATTCGTCGTGTCCACATTGTTGAACATAGCCTGGGCATCCTTGGGTCGAAACAGGACAGTCATGGAAGTGATGTAAGGATTCTTGTACTTGTACGGATTAACCCATGTAAATGAGCCGTTGGTAGGTGAGCCTTGTATAAGCATGGAGTAGTGCATGATCTTTCTCTCTTTACCATTATATAAAAAGCAGACAATTACCACATTGGCAGAAAAAGGTCCGAAAAATTTTTCGCGCTTTATGCGCCATGGTACTCGAGGTGACCAGGTTGAAAAAAAGGAGGCCAGGTAGAAAAAAGGAGGTCAGGAAAAAAATGGCAGAAAAAGGGCAGAAAAAATTTTCGCGCTTTATGCGCCATTTTCCTACTACTAGTATACCTGATCCTTGAAAGAATTATACAGTTATTTTCTACATCAATTATTATTATTCACCACACACTGTTATTCACAACAATAAAAGCACTGAATTATAACTGATACTTTATTACTCCATAACGAATTATTATAATAAAGTTTTGTTATTTTTATTATTATGAATTGCTATATTCTAGCTTTTTAATAGCAATGTAATATGATTGCACAAACTACAGAAATGAAATTCTATCTGAAATTCTGTATTCACCCATTGTTATTATTCCCGTTAACTATAAGAATAAGCATGTAAGACACTACGATATTTCCAATAAGTAAATACTGATTGATGTTTTCCCCAAGCTGTCCACTTCATCATCTACATATTGATTCAGCACCATATTTCAACAATACACTAATGAAAATTCCATCGTTAAGTGTGGAGACCGATCATTAAAGGTTATTGAGTTTTCATTGACTGAATAGAGTCGATCAGCTAGTAAGTAACTATAACAGTTTGTAATGACAATATTAGGCCTTTTATAATCTTCTGTAAATAATAGTTGTTAAGGTCTTTACTTAAGGATTATCGGGTTGAATGTAACGGCATTAATTTCATTTTTGAAAAGTTAATGAAAGATATGCACATTGCTAGCATCAACAATCTGATAACTGAGAGATGTAAAAAACAATCTATCGATTATCTATCATCACGGGGCAAGTCATAGATTTTGTGCTTTCAGTTGTTATCTGCAAGTGATTGTTGAAAAGTGGAAATTCTTATACAATGTCTAGTTTTATTGTAATGTATAATACATGCATAGTTAAGCTGTTGGTTGATTCCCATTGTTGCTGTTTATGATTATAAACAAGTAAAATAGAAAATGAAAAATGTAATATTTTCTAAAAATTGTTTAAGTACGATGCATATAGATATGGTAATAATTGTCCTGACGAAAGAATAGGATGAGTAGTTACAGAAACAAAAACACATACTATTCATGGCAAATTACTTTATTGTGATTATTTCAAAATATAATGCATATCTCACGAAAATGGTAATTTAAAAGGTAATTGTATTCATAAAAATAATAAAAATTAATTATCGAATTACATATGTATCATTGGAGTGTAGAATATATAGGATAAATGATTCTTTCGTGAAGTACAAAATCAGATCTTGTTTGCAAATCAACCATTTTCTTATTTCTTTTTATTATCATGCAAAACATTACTGATTTTGTTAATCTTGTTAATAATAACGTCCATATGGATATTACTATTAATCGAAATGTGCAGGCAAGCTTGGGTAAGGAAATGAAACCAAATGGCTGGATTTCACTCATATTGAGTTATAGAGAATGTGTAGTATTGAAATTCAATAATAGAGTATTCATGAATCAAGGATTTGCCCTCAATGATGAGAAAGTGTTGAAAGTGTTTGGAAATCATCAAATTGGTGATATTTCATATAATGAAGAACAATCCATAGAAGTAGTAGAAGAAATCGTGGATTTGGATCATGGAAGTCGATTTGAAGGATTGATATTGACAGAAAACAAGTTTGGAATTCCATTTGGATATGGTGAAATGTATGATGATGATGGAATATTGGTGTACAAGGGCATAATGATCAATTGGAAACGATTTGGATATGGAACGAGTTATCATAATAATGGATGTATTGAATATGAAGGATATTGGTGTGATGATAATCGATTTGGAAATGGAAAAGTGTATGATCGATATGGTAAATTAGTTAAAGAATGTGAATGGTATAATGGAATTGAAAGTATTATTGATGAAAAATATGAAGGAGATGGAAGCAAACCACTGAATATCGGAATGAAACATTTGAAACTGAGTAACAATTGTGTATTAGTTAATTGGGATGTTTCATTGTTGTATAATTTGGAATCAATAGAAATCGGTGATGATTGTTTTGGATCCTTATCAAAATCGGAAGCAATTCATTTACTAAGATGAAGAATGGAGCTGAAAATGATAAACTGAAATCATACTACATATTGGATTGTGAATCATTGGAATCCATTCAGATATTCTAAGAATTTGTCTAATATCACAGATATAATACTTGAAACACAATATCATAGAGGTTTTAGTAATTTGAATTGCTTAGGTTAGCAATTACCATTGACTGCCCATCACTAGATGTAGTAAGATTCTGGTGAATTTTCTTCCATGTAATACATATATTATTCAGTATCTCTAGCTTGTACCAATTGCATGTTATGTTTAAAATCTTCTTGAAGTACTTTTCGTTCATTCTACTTCATACCATGACTTTGACATCTTGTTGTTGTATTACTATGAGTAGAGGTGTTTTGAAATATCGATGTTCTCAATCATTCATTTTTCTTCATTCAAATATTGAATGTATCACAGTAACTCTCTCCTCAAAGAATGACCCTAAAAGGAATTGAATGATATTCTGAGTTTCCTGAACCAGACATATCTTAATCCCAATACTGCCATTCATCAAGTTTTCCCTTTTGTTGTGATTCATTTGTTCTTTACAATAGACAACATTTCTCCCCTTCAAAATGTCTAACTCTATTCATTACAGTAAACGAATACAAATAATCGTATAGTACAACACACACCTGACACATAGACAATGGATACAGTTGCACACTAGCTCACTGAGAATCGATTATCCAATTCCACTCATTTCTCTGTTTCGATTTGACCCTACAATCCCAAAAATCTCTTGAATCAGTCTCACACTATTTCAAACAGCAACGCCATCGATCATCCAGGTATTCAACAAACAAGCAAACTCATAAAGAGTTAACAATCTTAATTCTTACTAATATACTCAGGGTGGATCATTTCCTCGGGAACAAGATACTTATCAACCTCCTCCTTCGTGCACAGGCCCAGCTCGACCAACACATCGCGCACAGACTTTCCGGTCTGCAGCGCCGTCTTCGCCGCCTTCGTGCAGTTCTTGTATCCAATGAACGGCAGCAGGCAGGTCACGATTCCGATCGAGTTGTTCACCATTTCCGCGGTGTGCTCGGGGTTCGCCGTGATGTCCACCACGCACAGCTCGCGCAGCGTCCGCAGCGCGCGAGTGAACATTTGGATGCTGTTGAACACGTTGTAGATGATCACGGGCTCCATCACGTTCAGCTCCAGCTGGCCAGCCTCGGAGGCCATCGTGCAGGTCGTGTCCGCTCCGATGATCTGGAAGCAGGTCTGGTTCACCACTTCGGGAATCACAGGGTTCACCTTGCCGGGCATGATCGAGCTACCAGGAGCGCGAGGCGGCAGGTTGATCTCATGGAGACCGCAGCGAGGACCCGATCCCATCAGACGCAGATCGTTGCAGATCTGGGACACGCGAGCCGCGGTCACCTTCAGCGCGGCGTGGAAGTTGAGCATGCCGTACGTGTTCGAGGACGCCGAGATCATATCCGGCGCGATCTTCATATCGAAGCCCGTCACCTCGCACAGCGCCGCGCAAGCTTCCTTCGGGAAGTCGGGGTGCGCGGCCGCGCCCGTGCCGATCGCAGTACCGCCCAGGTTCTGCACCTTGAACGCCTCCGCAGCCACCTTGATGATCTCCAGCGACTCGCGCAGCGTGCTGGCGTAGCCGTGGAACTCCTGGCCCAGAGTCATCGGCACGGCGTCCTGCAGCTGGGTCCGACCCATCTTCAGAACGTCCTTGAACTCCTCCGCCTTCTTCTCGAAGGCGTCGATCAGCTTCTCCAGCTCCTCGACGAGAGCGAAGTGCTCCAGATACATGCCCAGCTTGCCGGAGCTCGGGTACGTATCGTTTGTCGACTGGCACTTGTTGATGTGGTCGTTGGGACTCACGATCGTGTACTCTCCCTTGTTGTGGCCGAGGATCTCCAGAGCACGGTTCGCGATCACCTCATTGGCGCACATGTTGGTGGAAGTTCCAGCTCCACCCTGGATCATGTCCACGATGAAGTTGTCGTCCAGCTTTCCTTCGATTACCTCATCGCAAGCAGCAGAAACGGCATCCACGATCTCCTTCTTGATGAGGCCAAGTCGGCCGTTGGCAATAATGCAAGCCTTCTTGATCAGTCCGTAAGCTTTAATGAAGTTTCGGAAGCTCGAAAGACGAACTCCAGTAATGTTGTAGTTGTAAAATCCTCGCAGAGTCTGAACTCCGTAGTAGGCGTCCTTCGGGACCTTCATCTCTCCAAGGAGATCAGATTCAACACGGAATTCCTTAGCGTTCAACTAACAATTCACAAGGAGGGTCAATCTCATACGACTTCGCTGATGGCGGCGCTATTTTTATCAGATTCGTAGACAGAAAGAAGAGGAAACATGTTTGGTAAAATAATTATAAAGATTTTTTTTGGAGAAAGTGGAAAAAGAGAACACTATTCGAATAGAACACTTTTCCAATAATGATAATGTTCTTCTATTGGCGGTACAAGACCACATGTGCAGTAGAGGCATGTAAACTCACTCCTGGACTTGAGCGTGGTTGTTTCCCTCGACATTCTTGTTCTACTGTTTGTGTACCTTCTTCCATACCCTGGGCAAGAAATCACTGGCATACTCATCTTTCTATTTACTTTCAAATTACCTTGAGTTTGGGGAGTGGGAGGAACGGAGCCTTGGGTGAAAGCAATGAGCATAGAAAGCTCCTGCTTCAATACTCTGACGTTTCCAACTAGTCCATCCTCTGTATTGTTCACTATGAGTCTATCTTTATTATTGATACCACTCTCACTATTCTCCACAGCTCATTATTATTTAGTGCCGCTCTATCTAGATCCGTAGTAGCAGAGTGGACGTCGAGTATCAATTCAGATTCCATTCCCTTACTACTGTCTAACTAACTAACTAACTAACTAACGAATTACCAAAATATCGCAATGATTACTCTTCATCCTTTCAGTTTCTTCGACAAGAGGATACTGGAGATGTTCCACCTTTCAAACAAACAACACAACAGAATTGTTCCTCTCCTTCAAAACCAGTAGGCTGGCCACCAGTCGTCAGACAGCAAACCTTGTACACTTCTCCCATTTGGTCCTTATTAACCAATCTCTCCGCAGATTTAATAATATCGTCCACCTTCGCGTCGTCCTCCACCGTCTCGGCCATCTGTCGAACTCGCTCCTCGATTCCCAATCCACAGAGGAAATAGCCCTGTGGGATCGGTCCGTGATACTTCACACTCGCCGATTTGCTATTCTCCACCACCTTTCTCAACGCCTGGAAATCCACATCGGCCGTAATGTCGACCTCCCCCGGTTCCTGCAAATACGACACGAACTGATGATTCTTGATCCCACGAATGCTATTCTGCGACGCATAGTCATTTCCATAATCAATGAACAATGCGCTTCCTACCGCTCATCCTCCACTCCTCTCCCTACCTTTCGTCTCCTCCAGCCACATCACGATCTCCTGCACCAGCATGCACGCCTCCGGACACACCTCAATCCGGTCACCCTCCTTCGCATCGTACACATTCAGCATCGCATCGCTCCCCGACTTCATCGGCGGTTTCATCGCCGTCGGTTTCGTCGGCGGTTTCGTCGTCGGTTTCATCGACGATTGCCCTCCACGTGATCGCAGCACCGCATCAATGTCCTCCGTGATGTGCACCGGCTCCTTCACGCCCCCCAGCGGAACCCCCGCCGCGTCCACCAGCGGAACCGCGGTTCCCGCCGGCTTTCCCGCGGCGTCCACCAGCCCGCCCGACCGTTTCATCGCCTCCTCCAGCAGCTTTTTGCGCTGTTTCAGGTGGTTCACGAACGCTACGATCGACCCGCGCCCCCAGCTGTACCGCTTTCCCCGCGGGACACGCTCTGGTCCACGTGCTCGCCCTCGAAGAGCCCGCCGAGCATGGCGGTCGCCGCGAGGTTGTTGTGCGGGCAGAGCACTTCTTTGAACTCGATTGGGCCGTCTGAAGCCTCGCCGGCCGCGGATGACGCGGATGGAGATGATGATGGAGATGATGCAGATGTCTGGAGCGGATGCTTGTAAACGTCGCCTTCGTCCCAGTCGAGGTGTTCCTTGAGGTCGACGAGGATCTCGCGCCAGCCTTTCTTGGTGTATTGGAACTTTTGAATGGGCAGCGCGTCCAGAAATTCGTGGCCCAAAATCAGCGTAGGAAGCGTCCGCGGGACCGAGGCGATCGTGTTGTGCCAGTATACGTCAATGGGCGAAGGCCCACGCAGCGTCATATGCTCCTTTCCGGTCACCGGATCGGATGGTTCGGGATGATCGAGAGGCCTAGAATGAAAGGCTGTAGAATGGGTACTTGCAGTCCAGCGAGTATTTCTGCTTGCTTCGCATACCCGGACTCAGCTCCACCAAGTGAATGTCCAGAGAGTTGTAGAATCCAGGGAAGTGGCGAGCCGCTCGCAGCAAGTCTTTCATCAGCGTACCACGGCCAGGTCCCAATTCCACGAGCTGCATCTTTTTCGGCTTTCCAAAACTCTCCCATTGCGTCACACACCAGATTCCGATCAATTCACCGAACGCCTGGTTGATCTCGGGGGAGGTGATGAAATGGCTCTGTTCCTTTCCAATAACATCGCAATTATGGTAAAAGCCCAAAGTCGGGTGATTTAGCGCTATTTTGGTAAATTCGGAGATGGAGAGAGGCCCCTTCGCAATGATTAGAGACTTTAGATGCTCAGCAAGAGTTCGCGGGTCAGAGGGACTTCTTTCTAGTTTTAATCACACCAAGCATGAATCGAACTTGTCTTTGTCTCTCCGGCAGTACTTGAAACGGTACGGCAATACTTCTGCAAAGCAGGCGTAAACCTTGATGCTCTGTAGAGTTTACGGCACTAGGAAGTAAACTATTCCATAAAAGAAAGAGTTACCGTAAAGGATAGCATTATTCTGAATGAGGATTGTTTCCTTTTCATTGTGATTCGAACAAACCCAATAAGTAAAGGAAAAGACTATTACAATACGTTCTCATTTCTTCCTGTATTTCTCCTCGATTGTTCTCACCTAGAGTACTATTCAATTAAAGAAACGTACGACATTCTCTCCATACTCAAACAAATGCTTAATGTCCGGGACGTTGTAATTCTGGTCAATATAGATTCCTGCGACAAGGGAGACTGCTGATACAAGCAAATAGTAGCTGTTTGGCATTTATCGGCTGCTCCTGGAAGAGAAAACAGAAAATTTGTAAAGAAAACATTCCGAAACTTTTTCACCACTAGTATTATACACTTATCACTTTAAATAACATTATATGTTGCTGCTATTGCTTCCGTTGTTAGTGTTGTTGTTGTTGTCAATGATGTTGATAATACTGTTACTATAATGAATTGAAATCAGTTCATTTCTAATTATCCTTTTTGGATAGTCGACTTACCGCATGGTCCATCCGAATAATCGAACGAACCATTTCGGGGTTCGACAACATCTTCAGGCGTGCTGGACTCAATACTTTGCAAAGCAATCCCGGTGATTTCTGCTCGATTTCCTTATAGATCCGCGTTTTCTTCATGAAAAAATACACGATATTCGGATGGTTTGCGATAATCTGGCATAGCAAGTTGATGTGTTCTAATCATGAGCCATCCCATGCATCCCGACCTTCTCGCTCCTGTTCGACCAAAGGATCCTGCGAAGGATCTGGAGTAGATTCCTGCGACGAGTCCTGCCACAGATTGGGCAGTCCGCTGTCCGTCGAGCGAAGATGATTCACACTTGCGCTTTTCTGGAAATCCCAGGAAAATTCCTTCCTCCGTAAATGCCGAGCACTCAGAGATTTCCTCGGAAGGACCTTTCCCGAAGGTTGCGACATGGATGATGTCTGCTGCGAGTGAAGACTAAAGGACGGAATGGAGGCGCTGTGGAAGTAAATCCTGCCATTTCCGTTGGGTTCCGGTGAGAAAAAGTTGTTTTCAGGCGTTGATTGGCCGGTCTCGGGCGATGAAAAACGGGCTTCCATTTCTTCTGCGGACAAAAAAGAGGAAGCTGCATAGAAAACAATAAAGGAGGGACTTACGAGGGTGATTGTGAGAAATGCCTTCAGAATGGGGGTTCAAGTGGTTCATTCGTTGATTCTACAGCTTGATTCAAATCATTGTGTATTCTACGTATTCCTCAGTAAATTGGAGCTGATGACCAATCCGAGACTCAACAAGATGCAAAATTACTTGCTTTGTTCTTGGAAAATCATCGTAACTTGTAGGATTCGAGAAAATATTAACCAATTCGCCAAGTTTATCATCATTCATTAAGTACTCGTAGAAATCTGGATTTAATTCCATTAACTCGACAATAATAGGGTTTGTCATTATTAGGCTACGGGTGAGGTTTATATCGCTGAGAATGTCTTGGATTAGAGGAGATTCCACAGCGATCTTCACAAGATTTGGATAAGAGCTCATCGCATATGGAATCTCTTCGAACTGCTTCACCTGCTGCTTTTCTTTCTTAGAAGCCTTTGGGTTGCAAAGAACATGCTTCAAAATTGACTCTACGATCGAATCGCCACCATATTCGCTCTCAGTTGATGCTTCTGTGCCGGATTGGGCAGATTCTGATGGTCTTGGATAATGATCGCAATTCTTGCTTAGATTGTGAAGAGAGTGACCGTTTTCTTGCTTTACGACGAGATGAATAATCGAATTCTCAGTGATTCCTATGTATTAAATACACATTCTTAGCAAACCGTATTCGTATAATCGGTTCTCGTTTTTAAGGAGGCTCCCCTTAAAAATTAGGTGAATTTCATCAACATTATGATTTATGGTATTGGCAATGGCAGTTTTCGCCTCGTATACCGTTTGTAAGGGCGAAAGCTCAATATCCAATGTACCTAAGTAACACTTGCATACTTTCATTTGCCACTCCACTAGAAAAACAATCTGTACAAAAGTACGAAAACAGTTATTCTTCGACTAACACCGTTTGAGATAATTATCAACCGTACGTGAAGTTCTCTTTTTCTCGAGGTGTTCCTTCTTGAAGAGAAAGCGAAATAGAAAGCCCTTTTGCTTTTACGTGTTGTGGTTCTTTGGAATTGTCTCTCTGACTTTTGTGGCTTGATTTGTTGTTGTTTCTAATATGACTATGATTTATGCATGCGGACAAGAGTGAGATCAGTTGATAGTTGTTGATTCATGTGAGTTGTACGGGTATTATTTGGAAGGTCAGCACTATCTTACTTAGAATGATGAAGTTAAACCAAAAAACGATTCGAAAACAGGAAACATACCATCAATTATTCCGAACAGAAACACTCACCAATCACGCACTCTGTTTATAACAAACATAACGCTCGAGAGTAAAACTACCCAGCAATATTCACTTAGGCCTTCGCAGGAGCACTCACTGTTTCTTCTGCGGGACTAGGCTCAGGAATGGATTGCTGCATAGGCTGTTGAGCAGGTTCAGGCAAAGGTTGTTGTACAGGTTCAGGAGCTGGCTCAGGAGCTGGCTCAGGAGCTGGCTCTGGGGCTGATTCAGCGGCAGGCTTGGGAGCTGATTCAGCGGCAGGTTTGGGGGATGGTTCAGCGGCAGGCTGTTGCATGGGTTGTTGCATGGGTTGCATGGGCTGTTGCATAGGCTGCATAGGCTGCATAGGCTGCATAGGCTGTTGCGGGTACATGTTCATGGGGTAGGGATACATGTTCATGGAGCCATCTGCCTGCTGCATGGGCTGCTGCGGGTACATGTTCATGGGGTAGGGATACATGCCCATCGAACCGTCAGGCTGCTGCATGGGCTGCATGGGCTGCTGCGGATACATGTTCATCGGATAGTAAAACCCGTTCATCGGAGCACCCGGCTGCGGCTGCGGCTGCGGCTGCATGGGCTGCTGCTGCGCAGGTTCCGGAGAAGCCTGCTGTGGCTGAGCAGGCTCCGAAACAGGCTCCGAAGAGGGCTCCGAGACAGGCTTCTGCGAGAGAGACTCCGAACTGAGCTGCTCAATCGGGTCGCTCGCAGCCTTGCTCGTCTTGTCCGCCGAAGCCTTGCGCTTTCGAGCCTCCATCATCTGATTGAACTCCGCGTTCTGCTTGGCAACCGCAGCCTTCACATCATCGATGTCGCTGCGATTGCCGTGGTTCAGAATCAACGGCAAGGTGGGCTCGCGCTCCACAGGAATCACTTCCGGAGCCGAAGCGTACATCAGCGAGAGCTTTTGCAAGAAATTCTTGTAGGTAAGCATCACCACGTCCGTGATGTAGCTCACGATCGCATCATGGCGCTTCTCAAAATCCAGCAAACGCAGCAGCAGTGGAGCTTCGATCATCTGCAGTTGAGTCTCAGCACGGCTCAGCTTCTCCGTGTTCTACACGCTAATTCTCCCTTGTCAAGCCTCTTACACGGTCCACCAAATCCGTATCTTGATTGGCGTCGCCAATCTTCTCCATCTTGGAGTGGTAATGATCGCGCTCCAGCTTGAAGGGAGCACGCTCGTCGCAAAGCTTCTACCCATTACACACGACCATCCGCACACTTACCAGGAGAGCCTCCAGCTCCTCCTTATATCCACGCACCAAGGGAATGATGCCCTCCTTAATCTTTTCAAACTACAGGTGAAAGCCCATTTCCTCACCTACAACGGTGGCATCTTCCTGGATCTCTTTGGTCTTGTTGACAAGAGCTTCGCGCGCTTCTGCATTCGATGGTTCATCGTCAGAAATAGTCATTTTAGAGATAGCAGTATACACTTGAATAAAAGACTCCATTAAGTCTACAAGTCAGGAGAAAGCACAGCGCAAACCATTGGAACGATTCATGAGCACTCCCAAACTATGTTCCTAGCAATCAGCGAGAATAGGAAGCCACCTACCAGGTTGAGAGTCTCTTCATAGTTTGTGCGAAGCTTTCTAATGTGCTCTTCCCAACTAGAAACATCAAAAGCAACAAAAAGCATTACGATTCATCGGGAATCTCAGAAATGCTTCCCTTGTGCTTAAAACGGGAAGCAGTCTTGCTAGCCATTTTCTTCGCGTCAGATGATAACTTAGTAAAAGTGCTTCGGAAACTTCTTCCAAACATGGTAAGATTATTTATGATGCTGTACGAATCTAGTGGTATAACCGCGGTTATACCAAAAAGAACGTTGAACTCAACTTTTTTAACAAACCAACCGGAAATTAAAATAGAGATATACATCTACATAGATTATGATTCTTCCTGCATAGTCTCTGAGGATGCAACGTTTTCCCTGTTTGGGGCTGAGGAGGGAACTGTAGGAAGCTTAGGTATCATCAACGATGATGTTACAGAACTGGAAAGAGAGCCAGTAGGTACACTAGAGAATTTGGAGGAGGAGGTAGATAGATTAGGGGCTCCGGAAGTGGAATAATAAACAGGATTGTGGTATACATCTTTCTCCGGAGAAGTCCGCTCAATCGAGGGTTGCGATACTGAACTACCAACTGAGTAAGAGTTTGGCTTCGCAGACACGGGTGGAGCAGGCACAGGTGGGGCAGACATGGGTGGAGCAGGCACGGGAGGAGCAGACATGGGTGGAGCAGGCACGGGAGGAGCAGACACAGGCGGAGCAGGCACGGGAGGAGCAGACACGGGCGGAGCAGATACAGACGGACCAAACATAGGAGGAGCAGGAACCGGAGGAGCAGCAGACCTCTGAGAAGGAACACTTTTCGGAATGGGCGGAGGACATTTCACAGCCACTGGAGCAGAAATGTTAACGGGCATGGGAGGCGGAGGAGTCGCCGGAGCTCCCATCAGATTTCGAGAATAGGGATCGTAGTCTGATTGAGCCTGCAGAACGGCCGCCCTTGGAGATATCTCGTAGACCGACATTCCTATCGCTCCCGCCTCAGAAGGCATCACCGACTGTGGAGGCGGAGCCATGACTACATCGTGATCTCCATTCTCCACAACCCACCCGAGTACATTGTCTGCTGTGCCGGTATCGTAACAGAAATCGTAGGATCGACTGGGGCGGCGGAGGGCGTGCTGGAAGGCACGACAGCTGTGGACGTCGAGGTCTTCGTAACCTTGGGTATTTTCTTGATTTCTTCCTTGGCTTGGATGATATCACCGTCTACGAATGACCACTTTCATTCGTCGTTAACGTACGCAAACCATAGTCTTTCAAAATGGGGATTTGCGGGACTTCAGGAGGCGATTCCAACTTGTACATCGCGAATTGCTGACTCATCACACTGAAGACTCGCTCTTGGCAGGAAGTCAGCGTGGAGAAAGCGTAGGCCAACGTGGATTCTCGCTTCGTCTCAAAGTCGTTGAGTCGATTGAGCAAGGGAGTTTCGATGAGTTGGAGTTGCTTCTGGGAATTCTGAAGCTTTTCTTGATTCTGTGTTTAAGTGAATGAAGAAAACGAACGCGACGCAATTTATCCTCTTTGTGATTTGGATCCTTCATTATTGCATCAACTTTTTGCACATAATGATCGTGATTAAGCTTGTACCAGAAACGTTCTTCACATAATTTCTATTCTAAATTAGGAATCAGAGTCTGTACTTGTAGATCCATTGTCTCAAAAATGAACTCTTGCAAATAAGGAATCAAGTTATCTTCCAAAATAGAAATCTACCAAATTAAGCACACACACACGGATTTTACACCCTGAATAATACAATTCGCACGTAGAGAAGCAACTCCTTCACAATAGCATTGTCGACTGTCCTTTACTTCTTGGCTATCTTTGTCTATTAAGGATCCACTAAAATCAGTCGATAATGACGTCATTACAGTGAGCATATCTAATCCTTGACTCGTTTCACTTTTCTCACCTCTTAACACTTTACAAAACTTTACAGCATTAACTTTCTAGTCGTAAACTCCTCCAAAAATAGTCAACAATATTCTCTACACTTTCTATCGTTTTAGCTAAGTCGTTTACTAGTGTATCCCATCTAATCCGTGAGTTCATCGTCCCTTCCAATACACTTCATTGGGTACATCCCTTATGCTTCCTCTGTGAGATACGACCGCTGAAAGTCGTATCATCGCTTGTCTAGTCCGTATTGAAGCTCTTTGGACAGGAATTGACGGCATAACACACCTTAAATTAAAAACAATATGTTTCAGTAATTTATTAAAAAAACACCCCGCTAGTCAGTACGCATACAATGATTCAAAATAATGTTGTACATCACAACAGATTGTGAAAATGGACCCAAACAATTGGTGTACTCAACTACAACTCTTTTTCAATTCTGTCGATTATCTGAATCTTCTTCCTTGATGTGTGCCCGCTGCAAAAATACATTTTGCATCCGTCACGGATGTTTCTTTGAGGAGCTCCAAAAATAGGACCTATTTTGTAACTGTGTCTAAATCCAAAAATCGACGCAGAGTGAGGTCATGGGCTCTATTTGCAGTAAGGGGAGCTATGATGAGATGGCTCACAAGAAAAGTAAAAAGAAGACCTCCGAAAAGCTAGCTGATTTGGATAAGACGATGCGAGACGGTTTTCTTTTTTTTATATGATAATAAAAAGACATTCACCCTCGCAAGGAATCTCATCATAATCATAAGCAAGAAAAGAGCGCAGAAACCAAGTCGAGTCAGCCTAGCTTAAAAGACAAGAAGCGCATGTGAGTTCTGCATCAATTTGCGCTTATTCTATAGGATGAATAGTTACGAAGGGAGTGAAGGTCTTACATCGCAAACTCTTTACAACGACTCTTCACTGAAAGAACAAGTAAAGCTACCAGTGAATACGACCGTTGAAGAGTACTTCCAGTCGTGTCTGTCTCATGTAGGTGGATCTACACCAACCTCGTTTATTTTGTGCAAGATATTACACTGCTCTATGATTCGTTGGGAGAATTGCGTCTCTTTCATTTCTAGAATTGCTGAAGAATGCACACGCTCATCTTGTCCTGAAATGACAGCAGGACCACACTATACGTATCTTTGGACAGACGGCCGCAGTAGCAATCCTGTGAGCGTACGTTTGGCGTCACGGAGTGTTAGGTAGATGAGTGCCAACGAGTACATCAATTCTCTTTTCCAGTACATTTCCGACTTGTTCAAGCGATCTCCTTACAATGAGTGTAAGAACGGGGTGTTCCCCGAAGACTTTATTCCCACGGTTTCGACGATCTTTAAGAAGCTGTTTCGGGTGTATGCTCATGTGTATCATCACCACCTTAACGTACTTTTCATCGCCCTCGCCGAATTACGTCTAGTCTTTTATCCAAGTGGGTGCCGAGACGCATCTGAACACCTATTTCAAACGCTTTGTGATGTTCGAGCGGCAGTACAAGCTGATTAGCAGCAAGGAGGAGCTGCCTCTGCGGAAGCTGATCAAGCGGCTGTTGGAAGACGAGCAGATGGACGAGGAGACGCCGATGCCGCTGCAGTCCTCCGTGTCCTTCAAAAACTCTGATTAGTTGTAATAGCTTTTTTGTGGGTTGTTTGTTCCGCCTCAAACACGCTACAAATCCATTTGGCGTGCACCGTACAGCAACTTGAGATTGAAGAGCAGTTTCTCGGCGGATGGCACGTACTGGAGCAGGAAGCTGGGCTTGTACCCCGTGGAGATCACGCGATGCGACGCGGTCCGCGACCGATCTTCCGCGGCCTCCTCCGTCTGGCCTTGTTCCCAAGGCGATTCCACGATCGCAGGGATCGTAGGAGTCGCAGGGCTTGGATGGATGCTTGTTCCGACAGCCAGATTGCTTTGGGGCTTCGCCTGTTTCGCCTGCTTCGCCTGCTCTGAACGTTCTGAACGCTCCGAACATTCTGAACGCTCCGAACGCTCCGAACGCTCCGAACGCTCCGAACGCTCCGCAAGCTTTCGCTGCGCGGCGCGGCGACTGGCTCGCATGGCCTCGTAGTAGAGCGCGGCGTTGAGCGCGACCTCCCGCGAAATGGTGAGCAGCGATGTGTACAAGACCTCCTTCAAGGGCGACTGCATGAAGGGCTGAGCGCGAAACCACAGAAAGCCGTAGTTCGGCTCGAAGAAGGACGCCCGCTTGATGAACAGCGCGATCTCGGGCAGCGAGCGAAGCAGGTAGGACAGCACGCAGGGGTTCGCGCAGGCGTGGAACTCCAGAAAGCGCTCCGAGCTGAGAATGAGCAGCTTGATCGCTTCGATGAACGTGTCTCCGTACTGCGGAGTGAAAAAAACGGCGTAATTCAGGCACTTCGAGGCGTTCAGCAGGTCGAACGCGCGACAGCACGGGTCCAAAAAGATCCGCGCGCCCTCGCACCACACCTCCCCCGACTTCGTCACGTGGCACAGCGCCTTCCGGAACGCCTTCAGCGCCACATCGCCCCCGAACATTCTGCATCGCACCCCGCCTTCTCCGCCTACCTGTGCAGCACGTGGATGTACGTCGACCACAGCCGACCCGCGCCGCGATGCAGCCGCAAAGCCACCTGGTTCAGCCGCAGCGCGCGGACCCATTCCTTCTGGATGATCTACGCTCAATCCTCCCCTTTGCGCCCTACCAGCTGGTGGATCTGCTCCAGCAGCAGCTTCCACTCGCTAGGAAACAGCTGAAACCCGCGGGAGAGAAGCCCGTTCGCGTTGCGGTAGTTTCCGATCACGAACTCCATCTTGCCGAACTCTAAAAGAACGCGATGGAGCGACTTCTCCGGCGCGCGGACATAGCTTCGCCGCAGATACTACGATCGATCCCGCGGGGAATGCCTACCTGACGAGCCAGCTCCCGGAACCCCACGACGGCGGTGAACCGCCCAAACTGGAGGTAGAGCTTCCAGACGAGCGTGTCCGGACACTTCTGAATGGCCTTCCGCATGTCCTCGGCCAGGTAGCGTGTGAGCACGTGATAGCTCTGCAGCACGACTTGGAGAGGGATTCCGCTGAGGGAGACGGCCACTTGGATGTATACAGTGCAGCGAAAGTAGTACTGGTTGCGGTTGGAAAGGATCTTCCAGAGAATGTCGTTGGGCAAGCACTTCTCCGCCTCGGCGAGAAGGCGGTCGAGGCTGGGGTTGGGCAAGAGAAGGGAGGGCTGGGCGTAGTTCCACATCATCAGCGTGTCGTGCTCGTAGAAGTCGAACACGAAGAACCAGATCGGCCCGTGCTTCGGAAACTCTCGAAGCGCCCGAGCGATCAGAGCAATCAGCTGCTCGTGGCTCCCCACGCGGTATTCGTACAAGAGCATCTCCATCACCAGGTTCCCCGTGTAGAACCGAGACGATCGCGCCACCTCCTGGAACAGCGCCTTCGCCGTGAGTTCATAGCCCAGCTTCGCCAGCGACGTGATGCCTTCCACCAGCACTTTCACCGACTTCGACGAGTTCATCTCGATCAGCTGGAACAGCAGCTCGCGCACGTGATCGCCGTGCGCCACGCGCTCCTCCAGCTTCAGCCGCTTCTGCAGCAGCAGCTCGTTCGTCGGGTAGAGCCGCGCCGCCGCCTCGAACACCGCGTGCGCGTTGAAGAAGTTGCCGTGGTCCTGCTCCCAGCGCTCCAGCTCCATCCACGCGGCGAAGCCCTCGCTGGCCGTCGCGAGAAGCAGCTGCGCGCGGCGAGACGGACGCTTGCCGGGCGGGAAGGCGGCGGGGCGCTGCGGGAAGGCGGCCTGCTGGGAGAAGAGCTGGCGGGTAGGAGCGTCGAGGGAGTCCCAAAGCTCCTTGTAGTCCGGCCGCTGGAGAAGGGGGAGGAGAAAGTCAGGAGGCGAAGGCAGAGAGCCGAACGCGCTCTCAAACAGAGGTGTTTCTTGAAGAAACGGAGGGGAGTAGGGAACCGAAGTTGAGTGATCAAACGGGGAAGCTCGAAAGGCGGCATGCGAAGGGAAATAGGACAAGGAAGAGGTCGAGAGAGGAACAGGCCGCGATGTGGGTAGAGATGTTGACATGGAAGCTGGTAGAGATGCTGGTAGAGATGCTGGTAGAGACGCTTGCATAGATGATGGCATAGATGATGGCATAGATGATGGCATAGACGCTGGCATAGGAGCCGGACGAGGCGTTGGACGGGCTGAACGAGGAAAGGGCACAGACAGGGACATGGACATGGGAGCGGGGAGAGGGGAGTAGGGCGAGTTGAAACTGGGAGAGAGGTCCGAAGGATGATCAATCGAATATGTTGGTTCAAACATATGAGGAGCCGAAAAACGATCAGGGATAGACGAACGCCTTTCGAGCGGTACAAAGGTATTGTAAGGTCTGTTCTGAATTGGATATAAGGGGTCTCTACAGTTCACACACGAAAAAACACAAACCCTGGGTGTAAAGGGGGAGCAGTGGAATAACCATCCTCTTGAGTATAGTAATCTTGGCTGCGTGGCAACTCATTCGGGCTAGGGAATCACGCCGTACTCTCAACAACACACTTTATACAACTCTGGCCAGAATTCAAAATTCCTACTGATGGAGAATTTACAGGGTAGTTATATCTATTCGTGAACCAGATAGCGCTCACTGTACTGGAAGGAACGTGCTGTTCTTCCATTCGGGTAATTAGCCGGAATTTCTGGCTCGAATGAATAGTAATCGTTCTACCATATTACACTCGCCATTCTACAACTACTGGATACATAATATACACTCACCCGACTTTAGCAATAATCTTTTCAAGTTTGACTACTACAGGATACGAATGAACCCAATACTGGAAACGTGCAAATTGAACACTTCTATGTAACCAGAGAACAAGGTCTAATGAAAAGTTCGGGAGGGGAGTTTCATCATCTCATCGACTTTTATGGAACAAACATTCACAAGAATTCGTCATTATCCACGCGCTGCCGCACGAGCGCGTCCTGTATTATCGGTATCAATATCCTGACAGTTGTGAATCGCATACAGCAAACGATCATGCAGCTTCTCTGGCGACGAATAACTCGGCAGATCCAGGATAAAGAAGCAAGTGTGCGACATTGGATAGTTGTTATCAGGCTTGGACACATCCAACTTGTTAATCACGTGTTTCATCGGGAACGACTCCGAACTATGCATCACTCACCTCCCCTTCCTTTACTCAAGAGGCAGACGCGACCGTCCCCACACGAACCGCAGATAGAGCTCGCGCTCCTCGTTCGTGAAGTTCTGCAGCACCCTCCAGAAATAGTTGATCACTGGCTCCTGTCCCGTGTAGCCGCCCTTGTACACCGTGTTTTTCTTCAGCAACTCCACGTTGATGTCGGTACGACCCGACACGATCACCTTCAGCTCCTTCGGCGTGAACAGCGTGAGGAAATGGCGCGGAAGCTGCGTCGACAATCCGCGATCTGAACGATCACACCCCACTTCAAGGCGTACAAACCGCATCGATCTGCGTATCGAACTCCTTCAATCGGTAATCGATGATCATTTCCAAGTAATGATTCCGCTCCGACCAGGGCACGTTGATGTTCTTCCCGCCCGAGAACAACTCCACCACCTCGTCGTCGCTTCCTTTCACCGTGTACGTCACATGCTGCTCCTTCCAGCTCGTTTCCGCCTCCTCGTCCGGCGTGTCGTACCCCTGAATCATCTCCACTTGCTACAAGTCACCCCGTTTCCACGTTTCTACCGAGATGAACTCCTGGTCGATGCTCTGAATGTCGCTGACGGTGATGTCGATGCCCACCAACCGCTTCCAGAACAGATCCGCCAGGTTCAGCGGCACCGTGTTCTTGGTGCGAATCATCACGCCGATCATCTTGCCCAGGAACTCGTACATCTGAATGCACAGCGCCGTCGTCGAGCGGGGGTTCGGAATGAACACATCGCGCTCGCGGCCGTAATTCATGCGGCCGTTCGGCGAGGGAATGAACAGCGTGAGCGGATTGGACTGGATCTCTTTGAAGATGATCGTCATCGCTTCGCGGAACAAACCGCCCGCATCGTCGCCGTATTCGCCCAAGAACTGGATGGTGAAGGGCTGCGTTCCGTCACGGAAGCGGTCCGGAGACAGCGAGTTCGCGGCCTTGAAGAACTGGTAGAACAGCGTGTATTCGTCCTTCGTTTCGCCATCCTTCTGCCCCACCGCCTTTTGGCGATTCAGCGGAATGCTCGTGCGGCTTGCATACTCCGACTTCTTCAAAACCTACGCGTTAGCCAGCCAGCGAGCTCGCCAGCCACCTACATTCTGCAGCCACTCGATCTTCACCGGACGGAAGATCAGACCGCGCAGCGAGCGGAGATACTTCGCGAGAATGCTCGATCTACACGTAAAACGGCACGCAGAGTTCGACCCATCGTCGCACGAGATGTTGATGTAGCGAATCGCCTGCGTGATCATGAGATTCAGCTGCTGCAGCAAGTAGAACCGGATCTGCAGCTGACTGACCGAGAACTCCGCAAGGTTGGGATGCTTCATGAACAGCTGGTCCGGCGGGTAGAAGTTTCCGGGGAAGAGCGTGGTGATCTCGCAGGACTGCTGATCGCAGTACTCCGTGATCATCTCGATCAACTCGTGGTCCAGGTCTGTCGTCCATTTCTCCATGCCAGGGAGTTGCAGCTGGTTGTTCGCGATCATCTCGGCACGCAGCTTGAAGAGTCGGTCCGCGGAGTAGTCGGGCAGCACGTGCAGACGGAATCCCCAGCGCGACTTGTTCTTCTTCAGCATCTCCTCCGACTGGTAGTCCGGCTTCTCCTTGCCGCACTTCACGCACTTGTTCTCCGTGAAGTTGTTGCCCGTGTAGCACTCCAGACAGATCCACGGAAGACGCCGCATGCTCTTCTGCTTCTCGTCCTCCAGGAAGGCGTTGATGAACCAGTCAATCGTCGGGCGCTTCTGCGCGTTCTTCTCCGCCTGGTTGATCAGGGACGTCTTCTGCGACGCCTTCTGCTTCAGCTCCGCCTTGTGCGTGAAAATGTAGTCCAGCGCCATTTCGAGGTTGTCGTTTACGGCCTCCAGAGCCAGAATGCTCTCCTCCAGAGCGAATCCCATTCCCTCCAGCTGCTTCGCCAGGTTCATTCGGTTCTCCGGAACGCGACTCAGCTGCTTCACGGAGGCGATATCCTTGGTGTAGTCCGTGTCCACGTAGTGAATGTCGATGTCCGAAGACGAATAGTTCGTCGCGCACACCTTGTAGTTCACCAACTCCACGATATCGCCCGCATCGTAGAACGACACGCCGGGCATCAGCGCCTGGTCATGCGGCAGATTTCGGAACGCAACGCCCAGATACTCGTTGTTCAGCGTGATCGCCAGCGTTCCGTTGTTGAAGTTGATCGTGAACTTCACCAGGTCCTTCATCTTCAGCTCGCGGCAGAACTTCTGCCGCCTGCTGTTGTACCAGATCGTTCCGGACGCCATCAAGCCCCAGGAGTACTCCGTCGATCCCAGGAAGCCCGCGACGGACACCGAGCGTCGCGATAGGCCCAGGAACAGGTTCTTTCGGTTCAGACGGTGGATGTAGAACGTGAACGACACGATTCCGGAGCTTGCAAACTTCTCGGTCGTGATCGTCCACCAGCTCTGGCTCGCGCGATAGCCCACCATCGTGTTGTCCTCGTTATACGCGAGGAAGTTGGGCTGGCGGATCCACTGCAGATGCCCGATCTGGCAGAACGGGAACTGCAGATAGAACTCGTTGGTCTCCAGCGAAACGATGGACCGACTGTAGTTGTTTCCGCTCAGCATCATCAGCGGATTGAGGTTGTTGTTGTTCGGGAATCTACACGATTACAAGCGTCAACTCACGGCATACATCGCGAAAACATCGTCTTCTTCGGAGCAGCTATCCGCATCGAATCGCAGGGTCAGTCGCAGAGCATCCGGGAAATGCACCTTCTGATGGTGCAGCATATCCTGATAGGGATGCTCCGATTGCAGCAGCTGGCTCTTTCGAAGTCGCACCAGAATCTCCAGCAGGAACGGCTCCATGATGTACTCCAGCGGAAGCGTGTGCGTCTTGCGGTGGCAAAGCGACTCCATGATCACGGCGATCTCGGAGATATTGATGAAGTACTCCTTCTGCGACATGACTTTCTCCACCGCCGCGGCTTGCTGGCTGTATCCCTTCTTCCGCGAGTCGTAGCACATCAGCTTGACCGACACCAGCACTTCGATCAGCGCCTGGAAGGAGGGCGAGAACATGTCTCCGTCCTTCTGCTGATTGTAGAGCGTGTCCATCGTCATGTTCAAATCCGCGATGATCGACAGCATCTCCGGCGTGACCGCGTCCGCGTACATCTGGCGGATCGACGCCGTCAAGTAGTTCATAATCAGCGGCCGGTTTTGCTGCGAAGCGCCCTTGAACGACGAGAAAAGCCCCGCCACGATGTTCGCGCGGAAGATGAACGGCGTCAACTCTCCCATCGACCGCGAAGGATTGTCCACGATGTGCGAGAACGTGTCCAGCATCCACCCGATCTGCTCGATCGAATCGTTGTCCGACTGCATCTCGCCCTCCAGCGAAAACACCAAGTGCGAGTCGGGCGGCTCCTGCGTCTTCGAGACGAGGAAGTGGCGGATGATCGAGTTCGACGTCCAGAACGTCTGCTGCACCACGTGCATTTCGTCAGCGTGCTCCACCGGAGTCGCCTGCGCCAGCTCCAGCAGCGAGCGGCGAATGCAGACGTAGTCGCTCAGACTGGGCGGATCGGTGGAGTTGGTCACGACCATTCCGAACGCGGCGAAGTCCGTCGGAGGAACCATCTGCCACACGCTGATCGTGTCTCCCGTCGAGGTGTAGAAGGTGCAGACATTGGAGTATCGGGTCGGACGCGCGAAGTTCTCCGCCGACCTGCCGTCCTTTCGCAGCATGTCCACGACGTACGTGCATTCCGTCGGCGGATAGCCGATCGAGCTCGAGTCGCCGCACTTCAGCACTGTGGCGAGCGGAATCGCGTTGCTGTAGCGAGGCTTCCAGAAGCTGACGCCGCACTCCGTGTACTTCGCGATCAGCTCGTAGTTGGAGGTCATTTGGAGGAACAGCGTGCTCTGGATCATGGAGATCGGGGGCGACGCGGTGAGCGAGATCTCGTTGAGCAGGTTGTTGTACATGCGGCGCGAGAACGAGCGGTTCCACATCGCGTGGAATTTCTGGTTCAGCGTCGTCACGTCCTTGTTCTTCTCCACGATCTGGCTCGCCTCCTTCACTTCGTTCTCGAGCAGCTTGGAGACTTCCTTCTTCAGCACCAGCTGGGGAACCATGTCCGTGACGGAGGCCTGCAGATCGTGGATGAACGCGGTCAGGAACGAGTGGAACAGATCGTCGCGACTGTCCATGAACAGCGAATACGTGCTGATCTTGTCGTCGGAGGTGTCATTTGTCAGCGAGAGCAGGTTCAGCAGCGCGATGCGCGAGAACGCAGAGCACAGCGCGCGCGAGGTGGTGCAGAGCTCTTGGCGGATTTCGGGAAGCGTGCAATCCAAAATGTCTGGGAGTTGGCCCCCTCTCTTCGTCTGCACGTCCTGGAACTTGGCCTGGATGTCGTTCACGATCTCGAACGACGGATTGTCCTCCGAACTGTCGTTGCCGTAATACATCACCAGCGATAATCCGTTGCTCTGCACGGCCTCGTTGATGATCGCCAGGTCGAAGCACCCGTTCAGATTCCAGCGGTACAGTCCTCTGTTTCCGTTGTCCCATCTCACACTCACGCCCTTCAGGCTGAACGTATCCCAATCGCAGATCTTCTCCACTGTGCCGAAACCTCCGCTGTTCTGGTTGCCCCAGCGCCAATTCGGACCGCGGCCCACACGATCGCCCACCTTGATGATACCCAGAGAGCGCCCGTTTCCATTCGTGCAGCCGGGCGCGTTTTCTCCTCTCCGCTTGCAACACGTGTACACGTTGTTGATGCACTTTCCGGGATGATGCGCCATCGAGTCGCTCGTTGAACCCTGCGCCTGTGCGTTCATCAGCTCGAGGTATTGCTCGATGACAGGATCGTTCTGCTCGAGAGCCTTCGGGTCGGGGTTCACACACTCCAACACTTGCTGGCGACTTCCGTAATACAGAATCAGCCGCTTGCTCATCATGGCATCGTACCCGATCTTCTCCAGTCCATTCGCTTCCGAAATCAGAATCTGATTCACGCTCTCCTTATTCTTCTCGATCCACTGCTTGCACTCGCGCTCGTTCGACCATCCCACGGCGTTCAGCGCGATTATGCAATAGCTGCGAGGCACCTTCAGCTCCTGAATCAGCGAGTTGATAATATCCTCGTTATTCGGCTCGGGAGGACCCTCGATCGTCATCGTGCCGATCTGGAGCGCCTCTCGGTCCTTCACCAGTTTGCGACGCAGCTGCAGCGAGAAGATCATGATCGTGCCCACGCAGGCGGGACTACAATCCGCACCCACGAGGAATTGCTCGTCGATCGACCAGCGGTCATCGATCAGAATCTTCGCGCCCTTCAGGGTTTCGGGAGAGAGCTCTCCCTGCTTCACACCATCCACGTACCATCGAATCACGTGGTGCGGGAGATCGGCCGAGATGATGATTCGATGGATGCAGTTGTTCTTGATCACATCGGGCTTCGAATACACGCCGATTCCGCAGGATCCGTCCTTGCGGACAAAGAACGAGCCTGGATGCTTGTTCTCGGGATCCGTTTGTAAGAGACACGTGTAAGAACGCGAGCTGAAGTCCGGAATGATCACGTCCATGATGATCGTCCACACATTGAGATAGACGCCTTCGCCGTATCCCATGAACGGGTTTTGCAGCGTCAAATAGTTCTTGGGACCCAGCTTCAACACCTTCTTCTGCTGCTCCTTCAGGTTAATAATATCCCAGACCTCTTTTCCCTGCACAGAGCAGGTCGCAGACGCTGGACTGCAGATGTTCTCGATGAACATCCACTTGCAGCTCGACTCCATATTTCCCAGCATCGCGTCCTCCTTCGCCTCGCGCGTCTCCGTGCTCGACGGCGTCGCATCCACTTGCTGCCTTCCCTCGCCCTTCTCCTCCGCCGCCATCAATTCAGCGAGGGTTGTGCCCACGGGGGCGCCGCACAGCGCGCAGGACGCACTCTTCTGCGGATTGGGGAAGTTGCAAACGTCGCAGCGATGCATTTTGGGGGGCAGACTGGGCGGCCAGAAGTTGACGGTGTAATCCACAGTCTCGCGGGCCGTCAGCGATCTCCGGATGCTGTTCCACATCTGGCTCTTCCACAGACCTTCCACGACCGACTGCCGCTCCTGGAGCCTCTCCATGGACGCCGAGGAGTAGTGGTGCGGAACCTGAGCGTGCACGTGGTTCACGACCGATCGGATGGAAGACAGCGAGATGCCGGATGAGATCGAGGGGAACTGGAGCAGCTGCATGATGGAGAACGTCACCATTTCCTGGATGACGCAGAACACCGGGGAGTTCTTGACGGTGTAGGAAGTGTCGGTCACGTTCAGAATGTGGCTGTAGTTGTCGAAGACTCGCGAGATCATCACGTAGTTGTCGATCGGGATTTGCGGCTTGATCAGCGTCAACTCGCTGTTGTTCGGAACCCACACCAACTCCTTGCTGTTGTTCAGCTTCACGAGACAGGTGTTTTCGGACTTGGTGTCCCGCATTCGGTCCTTGAACATGATCACGCGGCCTTCTTGACGCATGGTCAGAATCGTCACGGCGACCGGACTGTCCACCGACGCGATCGTCTGGGAGCCCGCGTAGAACACGATGGGTCCCACCAGATAATAGAGATGATCGAGCACCGACAGGTCCAGAGGCTGGCGCGAGAGAGACTGGATGATCTTCGTGATGTTGAACACGTAGTTGGAGAGCGAGAACACGGAGTTGGTGATGCACTCCTTCCACTCGCGCGATTCCAGCAAGCTCCACAGCAGACCGACGCACTTCGACGCGATCAGACGCGAGAAATACGGGGCGGGGATGAGCGCGTAGTTCGGTCCGTACGGAATGATCACCACGCGGCCCATCTGGCGCAGCAGGATGTACGGGAACAGCGAGTTCTTTGGTGGGTTCTCCACGCTCGGAGCCAGGCTCTCCAGCAGGGCAGCGCTCACGTTCTGCGTGAGACACTCCGACACAACGCGCGGAGACACGCGGACCAAGAGCAGATCCAGCAGCGTCACCAGATTGTGGATGCACAGCAGAAGGGGCGTGGTGTAGGGGCGATTGTCGATATAGAAGTACTGGCACGCCTTCGACACAGCGATCATTTCGTGCAGTTTGAGCAGCTGCAGGAACAGAGGAAGCAGCACGTTCAGCGAGCTCGGCTCGCGCAGCACATTCACGACTCCTTCGCTCTGCCGCGCGTTCACGACCAGAACCGTGAGGAGTTGGTTGATGTACGTGAAGGGCGCCACGTTGGCTTCGGGGTCCGTGGGCATCACGGTCAGAGTATTCAGAACGCGCGTGATCATGCCCACAGAACCTTCGCGCAGGCTGATCGGCGACACCGCGTCCCACTCGTCTCGCATGCAGCGATCGCCCACCCATTGAGAGACGCAGTAGATCTCGCGCAGCACGGTCCACAAGACTTCCTGGGAGAACACGGACAATTCCAGCTGGTCCTTGGAGCAGTAGCCGAACAGCATGCTGATGAACAGCCACACAAAGTAGGACATCTTCAACGAGCTCATCGTCAAGTTGTTCGTAAACAAGTCGTTCCAGGACTTGCCCAAGATCACCGAGGAAGCCGACTTGCCGATCGCCATGCACTGCGTTGAGTACTGCAGCGGCGCGAAGGACAGGATCGGATAGATCGCCTCTTTCGGAGATGAAACACCCAGCTGGTGATTGCTGTTGTCTCCGATTCCCCAAATCGCGTGATTGTACTCCAGGAACGTCGAGTTTCCTCCACACACCGCGATGCGGACGTTCATGTTCATCACTTCGGTCAGCGAGTACACGTCATTTCGATGTCCCAAGCCGAGCTGTCCGCAGTTGTTGTGACCCATCACGAACAACGACCCCTTCGTCGTCCACAACACCACATGGCCGCTTCCGGCAGCGATTCCCGCGATCAGCTCTTCACGCACCTTCTCGGGCAGAGGAATCTCCGTGATCTTCTTCACCACAAGCGTCTCATTGGGATCCTTGCCCAGCTGCCCGAACCGATTGCTTCCCGTTCCAAAGAGCTGGTTCTTGGAGGCAAACAGCGAGAAGTAGTCTCCACACGCGATGAATGCGATGTTCTTGCTCCGCAGCTCCTTCAGCTCCACCGTGGTCTTCGCCATCTTCTCCGAAATGCCCAGGGCGAACTCGCTGTTGTCTCCACAGCCGAACACTTCGCCGACGCCCAGCAGAATCGTGTGGTTCACGCCGCACGCGGCCTGCTTGATCGCGCGGCTGCTGGACGCGCCCGCCATTTCTTTGATGTCCGTGCACTGATAATCCAAGGTGGAGACGCGGCCGCACTGGTATTTCTCGTTCAACCCGGTCGATAAGGCAGTTTCCCCCTTGGAGATCAGAATCAAGTGGCCGCCCAGAGCGCAGCCCGCGATGGACTGGATCGAGAGATTGGAAGGGGTCACGCTCTTGATCTCCTTGGGCAAAATCTTCACGACGGAGCCGTCCACGAGCAGAGCATAGAGGGAGTTACGAACGAACGCCACTTGCGTGATTGCTTTGTACAGGCTTCGCGTGTTCCACATCGGCATCGTGGACGACGAGAAGGAATCCCCCGCAGCAGCACCTTCCAGCTTTCCGGTAATGTAGATCGGATTAGTGATCAATTTGGCCGTGAAGGTGTAGCGAGAAGCGTGGAAGCAGCTCATCAACGACCAATACTGGAAGAGCGATTTCAACAGTCCGGACTGCTGGAGCAGCGTGGCGTCCGAAGGCAAGTAGGGAAGCGCCAGGGCGTAGATGATCTTCACCATCTTCTCCATCACGCTCTCGGTTCCTTCTTCCTTATAAATCGTGTTGAGTCGGCGCATGGAGGACTGGATGATGCTGCAGAACGCGTTTCGAATGTTGTTGATATACATCGGATTCGATCCTTCCAGTCCGCTGTTGAAATACACCTTCGAAACCGAGCCATCGGCGTCCGTCTGCTCCAAAATCTGGGAGATCGATTCCGTGAGGCTGTCCAGCACATCTTCGTTGCACGCACGCGACATCAGCGAACTGAAATACTTGAATGAGGCGGCGCGTCGCTGCGCGTCATTCGTTCGAGAGATCATGGCATCGGTCAGCGCTTCCGTGTTCACACCCGACAAAATGAATCGCTTCAGCAGCTGCTTGATCGTATCGTCCACCGTGGTCACAAGATCCTCCTCGTCCTTGCCCTCTTCGTCGGTGTCCTCTTCATCCTCCTCGTCCTCCTCAATCACGATCTCTTTTCGGTTTCTCAGGAGCTGATAGGTGTTCGTTATCGACTTGTCGAACTCGGAGTCATTCTCCACATACCACATCGGCAGCACGTCGAGCAGGAACAAACACATCTTCTGAATGTTCATCCGAAACTGCTCGTAGCTCTGAGAATTCTGCTGACGCATCATATTCACATAGGTCAGCGCCCAGAACGAAGATGAGCACGCTGAAGCCACGGCAGGGCCATTCGTGTCGCCCGATTTGATCGCCATATACGCGAGAGGCGAGTGCCAAATGTGCACAGCGCCGATGTACCGCAGAATGACGGGCATGTCTTCACTACTCTTCAGCAAGCGGCGATCCATCGCGGTCATCTTCTTCTTCGGGATGCTGTCGAACCAGCTGACGCCTTTCGGGGTCCCTTTGAGAACGGAAAGACACTGGCTTCGCACGGTGTCGTTCAGATCGGGCGCCAAGCCTTGGATCAGCAGCACCGACTCCAACGTCTTGTTCACCTCCGTGTCGATCGCCATCACGCGGTTCTGCGACGAGTTCTGCTTGATGAGCACCGAAGTCACGGCCGTGGCGAAGAGATTGCACAGGTTGCAGCAGCGCGCCATCCACGTACAAATCCTTCCTGCCTGTCATGGATTGAGCAAACTACCTACGAACTTGGATGGATTTGTTGTTTTTGAACAAATCGATGCACTGGTTCTGAAGAATCACGATCTGGCTCAGCGGGTTCAGCAAGATACACACCGATTTCATGTTTTCCTGGACGATCGGTAACACCTTTTCACTGATCTTGGTCTCGACGTTCGAGTAATGCAGCACAATCGAATAGCACACGTACAGAATGTACTCGATGTTCCGATACACCGGTGATGAGATGAAGAAGTCGGAAAGCTGCTTACTGATATCGTTTTCTACCATGGTTGTCTCCACGAAGCATCCCAAGATCTTCTGCGAAAACTCGAGAATGCAGTTGCAAATGTTGATGATGTTCTCTCCGTCCGTCTTCAGCGCCTGCAGCGCGGTCATGTATCCATCGTATAATTTCTTGAAGTCGTTGTTATAGATCGACGACATGAGCTGCAGGATGAAATGAACGATATCCGTCAAGCCGGACACGTCCAGATCGTGCTGGTCCGAAGAAAGCACTCGGATATACGAGGAGAAGATATCCGAGAAATGACTGAACACTTGCTTCAGCATGTCCACAAAGGAAGCGCATTTATCCCTTGACACAAGATTCTCGATCAAATTGTTCTTCTTTAAATACTTAAACAGCGCTAACACAGTATCAAGCAATGCATAGTGATCCATTTTCGGATCGCTCTGGATGATGTTGTATTCATCGAAAATCATGCCGATCAGATTGAAGAACGGCGAAATCGTGCTAATGTCAGTCATTAGATTGCAAATCACATCATTCACCCTCTTCTTGATCAAAGAGAACTCCACACTATTACTATCGATCTCCAAAATCCTGAAGAGCAACATGAATAAACTGGTCGGTTTCTGTGAGTCCACTGCGAAGACGGAAAGCCGACCCGTGGATTTCGAATGGAAATAGTAGAGTTGCTGAGCGTACAGAAGCTCAATGCTGCAATAAAGCGCGTACAGCACGTCCTTATTCTCATAGGACGCATTCATGGCGTGAGATCGCTTCGCTTGATGCTTGTGGTCAATGGTCTGATAGCCATTCATGTCCATCTGCAGCAATTCGTTTTCGTCCATTTCGAAATCATCTTCATTGATGCTCGTTCCCAGCAGGCCTTTCCCAGAACCGCTTAGCGAAAGCGAGCTGGAACGCGACCTTCCAGAGTACAAAGAAAATGAAAAGCTCTTCGATGGCGGTCGAGTCAATCGCTCCGGAGTGGACTGCACCGATTCGCTCATGCTTCGCTTCCGATCCGTCGAAAGTCCACTGGATTTCGAGTCCGAATTCCCCTTATACGTTTCAAAGTACATTTGGAGCAGCTCGGTAATCAGGTCCAAGTTCTGCGAAATGCTTTTGGGTGTCACGTGCATCAGAAAACAATTCGGAGTTTCCGGATACGTCTCCGCATTCTGGTTTTCAAAGAAGATTCGATTCGAGAGAGTCAAGTAAGAAAGCATCAACGAAACGGACTCAAACACCGACAATGAAGAGAGATCCGCATTGAACTCCTTGATGACCTTGCCCGGATTCCAGTAATTCATCAATTGAAACTCGGCCGAGCTGAAATTGAACATCGAGGTCATCACATCCGTTTGGTACTCCGACAAATAAAGGCAGTAGTGCGACAGACCCAGCGAGACCTGCAACAAGCCGAATGGCGGCAACTTGACTTCACAGGGCTGCGAATTGTACGAGGACGCGTCCATAATGCTTTTTCCCCACATGTACACTTTCCGATCGCTCGTCACCGCCATGGCTACGTCGCCTCCAGCATAGATCGCCTCGCAGCCCTCCCTCATCATCATGACCTCGCAGAACTGGAAGAGCGATTTGCTTCCGTACGATCCGCTCGTGTACAGCGCGCCCGTCTCATCGAGCACCAGGCTGTGATGCGATCCCGCGGCGATCTTCACGATCCTGCAGGGCATCGGCACTTCTACGGGTGCCGTGTAGCGAGTGCTTTTCGACAGACCGAGCTCGCCGTACTCGTTGCTTCCGAACACGATCAGCCTGCCGTCCCTCGTGAGACAGAGCGTGTGGTCTTTTCCGCAGGAAATCTCCGCAATGTCTTCGACGCCGGGAACGATCGTCGGGATCGGAATGGGATTGCGTTCCCTGGAATTCGGGCGGAGGAATCCGCATTGGCAGTGCGCGTTGTTGCCCCAGCAGCAAATCTGCCCGTTCTCCAAAAGAATACACGCGAAGCTGGATCCCGCCGAAACCTGTTTGATCGGAGACATCGAAGGGACCATGATGAGCGTGGGCTTGGATTTGTAGTCGCCAGTCTTTTGAGAGAGCATTGAATACGCGTTGCTGCCCCATCCGTACAGCTTGCCGCTTTCCGTGAGAACGAGAATCACGGAACTGAATCGGATATCGCCTAGAGATCAACATCCAGCCCCAAAACGAACCGATCTGCACGACTTTTTCGTTACTCAGCATCGACAGCTCCACCTCGACGTTCTCCGTGCTGTTGTACTTCATTTGCATGGCTCCGTTGAGATTGCTCCCGCTCGCGACGATCGATCCATCGTCGTACAGCACCAATGTCACGTGGTCGGCCACTTGGACTTGCTTCACGGATTTGTGGGAGCGATACAAGAACTTTTTCACGGGCGTCACTCCGGACTTCCCCCGGGGCACGCACAGCTCGCCGTACTCATTCGATCCATAAGCGAGCAGATACAACGAATTGTACGTCGAGACCAAGAACTAGGATGCAACCACAAAAGAAGCAGCTACCTTATCCAAGGAACTCGCAGTGGCTTTCAGATCGATTCGACTCTTCGGACTCATCTTCAGAAACGACACCACCATCGCGAGAATCGAATCCTCCGAGCCGCGAGCGATCGCAATGCCGAGGAGGTTCCGCATCGCACTGCTGAAATGCTTCGACCTACGAGTTAAAAGTTGCGATCAGAGCGACGTGGGATCGCGAACCAGCTCGGAGAGCATGCTTTGAATCTGATCATAGGTGTTCTGGATCACGGCCGGCTGGTCCATCAGGGAGCGAGGATACACGTTGCACAGCGTGGTGCAGAGTTTGTTGTAGATGCTGTCGAAGAGCCGGCTGTCTTCCTTGTTCGCGATGAGAAGCAAGGAGAGACAAAAGTCCGCGAGCGACTCCATGACGTTCGTTCTAAAGAGTAAAGGGTGGAACCAGAAAAGTGTACACGCTGAAGGGCAGAGACACTGCTTTGGAAACAGGTTCACGATAGTATTTGAGTTCCTTCTTTTTCGCTTCCTCTAGCGATGATCAATATATATATATAAAGCCAGTACTTAAAACTCTTTGGTGCTCTTTAAACAAATAACTCATATAGACTACAACATATGCTTTTTTGCAGAAAGTATCCTAGAATCGATGGAAGACGGAACGAAAAGAATACAAGTTCAGTACTCGTATCAACTCTGTTGATTGAATTGCGCACAGTGTTCATTTGAGAGATTATATTTCGGAGATTGCCGATAGGGACGACCCATGAGTGGGACTCGACCGACAGACTCGGACTAACCTCGCCACTTCGGTCTTTCTAAAATGTCAAACTTATCACACTCTCTACATTTCCACGAGACGTCTTCCCGTCTTTGCCACTTTCTCTTTCAAAAATAATGCCATACGTCTTCAACTTATTCTTAATGTCTATAATAAGAGAAGGGAATAGGAGTCCCTACCTGTTTCTCTCTTAGTAATAAATTCATTGAGTTTAGCATCGTCATATAAGTAAAACTACGAAAAAAGCGATAACCGGATTCTTACATCCATATTTACATCTTCTGTTTGTTTTTGAACACTCATTTTATCAGAAGACGTCGTAATACAATGAGAAAATGAAAATGATTCTATGTAAATCTTGGGAGTTTCAATAGAGCCAGTTTTGAAAAAACAGAACACATAGAAGATCCTTTCTTTTTTAACTTCGAAACCTTCGCACCCGTCTCGCCTTTCAACACGTCGACTACCGAGTCATCGACATTCTCTCCTCGCTTTAATGTCTTCAAACCGCCTCGGCAGCCCTCTGCGATGGCAATTCCCGCGCCATTCAGCTGCGGAATCCCCACCACTTTAATTTCTCCCACATTCAGCAACGCGTTCGGATGCATCACGATCTTCTGCAGAGCTGGCAGTTCTACGCGTCACTTCCCTTCTCCTTCCCCACCCCTCATCTCCAGCAGGTTGGATCCCCTCTCGAAGATGTCCTGCAGTCCCGCGCAGGCGCGGAATCCCAGCTCGATCTCGCTCAGCTTCGGCAAATCTGCATTCCACCAATTCCCCGTTTCTACTTTTAATATACACGCTCTGCACCTTCTCGAAGCAGCTATTTCCGATCACCAGCGTGGTCAGCGCCTCCAGGTCTACCCTTCACCGCCATCTCTCGCCACACACCTTGGAACCGCACTTCCTTGCACCAATAGAAGCAGTTGCTCGGTCTCTCCGTCTCCGCGCTGCTCTCTCCGATCCTCACGCTTCGCAGCTGCGGCAGCTCCGCCAGCGTCAGCTTCGCGAAGTCGCAGCAGGCGCCGGCGTGCAGCACGACGCTCTCCAGCCGCTCGCAGGCCTCGATCTCGAGCGCCTTCCGCGCGCCTTCGACGGCGAACTCCTTCTTGTCGATCGCCGCCGCGTTCTCCGCGCTGCAGCACGCGTTCCGCTCGATTTCCAGCGACCGCAGAGAGCGCAGCTCGCGCAGCGCCAGCTGCTTCACGGCCCGCAGAGCGCCTTCTGCGATGGTGAGATGGCGCAGCCGGTTGAAGCGGACGAAGTCGATCGCGTCCTCCTCGAACCCTGCGATTCGGATCGCCATCGTCGACGCGGGCAGCGCGCGCAGCTCCTTCAGACTTCGCACCTGGTCGGTTTCCTCGCCGTCACCGTCGCCGTCCTGCGATGAGGGCAATTGCCGCGTCGCGGCGCGGCGCTTCTGCCCGAAACACGCACAGCCGCTTCCGGAACCGATCTTTTCGATGCGGCCGGTGTCGATGTACACGCGGATCTCCTCGCCGGTGTAGACGTTATCGACGAACTCGCCCTCCGCCACCAGCTCGCCCTCCTCGTTCATGTACTGCCCCTGCCCGTTCGCCATATCGTTCATCCAGTCCCCGATGTACTGCGCGGTGTGGTTCGGATAGAAGCTCTTCCCCTGGCCCTGCCGATGGCCGTTCACGAAGGCTCCCATATACACCAGAGAGCCGTTTACGAATTGGCGGCCCTGGCCATGCGGCGGATACGTGTGTCGACTGTCTTGCTTGTACTCGCCTTCGTAGCATTTCTTGCCCTGGGCGTCGTAGATCACGATCGTCTTTCCCTTGAACTCTTTCAGCACGCGCTCCTCCGTGCCTTCGCGATATTTGCAGATCTTGAGCGGGTTTTCCGACTCGTCATAGGTGACTCCTTGACCGTCGCGGACAACCGTATCCTTAAGAAAACCGCCGATGTAGCGGATGTGTCCTTCAATGTCCCGTTCAATCATCTTTCTATCGCCCTTCTCGTCTTCTTCGATGGAAACTAAGCCCTTCTCGCCATCAACCCAGATTCCTTCAAAGATCGGCTCATGCTCATCGTCGTAAAGGATTCCATATCCGTTACGCTTGTCATGCTCGTAGTTGCCCGAGAACACCAGCTTGCCTCCGGAGAATTCTTCGCCCTTTCCGCAGCGTTCACCGTTCGTCCAGTTCCCTCGGAAAGTGAGCTGGCCGTTTTCAAAGAGAGATCCCTCTCCGTTGACCAAATCATCCTTGAAGTTCAGTTTCATTGCCATGATGGTGTTCGGGTCCAGCAAAATTCCCTCTCCATTCTTTTTGCCATTTTCCCATGTACATTCCAAGGTATACTCCTCACCGTTCTTTTTGAGGGTCTGCGTACCCTTTCCGTTACGGATCCCGTCCACTAAGGGAACATCGTATTCTCCCATTTCAAATCCGTCGAATACCTTATTCTCATCTCCGATGCCAATAACTAGTCAGTAACACGCACCATAAAAAAGGCCATACGCGAAGACAAATCAATATCCATTTCAATTTCAAAAAACAAAAACAAATTAGATTTGATTTTTCTGCCCTTCAAACACTTTGTCTTCCGCGGAAATCGTTATTTTCACAAACATCATATTACCGTTTCAAGATAGAACAAGCAAACACTCAAAATTACTTCTTTTGATACTTCTTCCAATCGCCTCGATAGACCATAATCTTCTTTATGTAGAGATTTCGATAGGCAGCCAAAAGTCCGTATGTGGATTGCGCAGTCACGACCGCTTCGCTCACCTCCGACAGCAGATAATTCTCCAGCAACGAGCACATCATGCCGTCCGTTCTCTCTTGCCTCTGCACATCTCTAAACGAATGCGCCAACAGGCAGTTCGTGTTTACATAATACTGCGGATACTCCTGCTGAATCAATTTTCGGACATCCTCCGAGTCGGTGGTAACGAGCCACTTCACCGGCTTTTCCTGGGCCAGTTTGGCCTTCTCCGTCTGATTCAGCGCATGCATGGTGAACATTTTCAAATCATCCTTAAACATGAACACATTTCTTCCTTCATCGCCGACCATCTTCCCCGTTCGAATCTGGACGCCGATCCAGTAATATTTGTCCCACTCCAGCTCTCTCTTCTTGTCCTGCACCGCCTTCGTGATGTCCTCGTGCACCTGCACCACCTTCGTATACACGAAGTTCAGCAGCATCTTGCGGATATCGCTTCCGCTGCGCAGCTTCGGGTTCAGCACGAACCCGCGGTCGTTGAACCACTCGAAGAACTCCGGATCCTTCACCACAAAGTCGATGAATTTGCACAGAGAGCGCAGAACGATGCGCGTCTTCGTCGTCTTCAGGAAGTCCGCGGGCTTCACGCGGCAGTGCACGCCCGTGTTCAGCGTGTCTTGCAGGGGTTTGTCTGCCGTTCAAACAGGGAAACGGAGAAACCTGAAATGGGAAGTGTGAAGTTCTCGTAGGGGAGACTGAAGTACAGATGGAAGGACGGCCAGCGGTAGACTAGAGGTGAAGAGAATGCGGAAGGAACACTTAACAGCTGACGGTGAGTCAGCATCGAGATCAAAATGCCTTCGGCGAGAATGCCGAGGTTGTTTCCCAGGCCAGAGTTCATCGGGTAGATGATGACATATTTCGTTTCTTCTGGAGGCTGAAGCTGAAGCCGGCGCTGTTCTGCGACCCACTCCTTGAAGAATTCATCTCTTACACCCTCCTTCGTGACCAAACTACGCTCGTACGAATTCAACCCATCGTCCATAGACAGCATTCGTTTGACTACTAACAAAAGGTGAAAAAACAGTACGCATTCGGAAAATTGTATGAGGGATCTGAAACCTGTTGACTACATATTACATTCACATAAAAAGGAAACCGACAATTGCCTAGGGTGTTAAAACTGAGAATCTGTTCAGGAACTCCCTTGATCGTCTCAATATTTTTATCCACAGTAACGTAAATCTTCTTATCCGTGGCAAACTTGACCTGCGAGTCGATCTGCGGGAAAAAGACAAACAGCTGCGAGAAATAAAAAATGCCCAACAATAGCGATAGCGCAACCAAAAGTGAGAAACTATGTGCCATTATGAGGAGTCAAACCTTTGTAGATAACAAACAATGAATAACAGACTCTATAAAAACTAACATCTAGAACTATTATGCAATCGCGACCTCACCCCATAATCTTCATTCTGTGCAGGTTTCATTACACCCGGAGAATCGTAATAATAAGTAGAAGAAGTAGAACATGGATATCGACAATTGGCTTCTTCTTCATAATAATCGTAGTCATCGATCTCTCTTCTCGAATATTTCCGCCTTGCAGGTCTTCGCAGCGAGAAAAACCCGCACACCAACACACACGCGCTCATTACCATGTTCTCCACGAACGACAAGCTATTCGCGCTCAGATAATTCTTCAGCCACTTTCGAACACACGACCGAAGCAGTGTGCCCAAAATTAACGACAGGTACAGTGTAAATCGAATCGACGACAACTAAGCATTATTCCCCGCGGTGATCCGCACTCCCAGAATGGCCGTGAGGAGGTAAATCAGCAGAGCCCACAGAAAGGTCTGCATCCAAAACGACGCGGTGTTGAGCAGCGAGGAAAGAATCGATTGGAACGAATCAAGGCCCGAAAATTGGAATTGCAGAAATTCGAAGACACGGTCGATGTTCCCAAAGGCGGAAAGCGTGTCGTTGCGCATGCGCGAGAAGGACTGGAGCACTTCGGTCTGCAGGTCAAACGAATCAAAAGCGCGGCAAACGAAGAACGATTCGAGATCCGATTTGGTGGCCGAAACCTTGCTCAGCAGCTCCGTGCCGAGTTTCTGAGACGCTTCCTGCTGCTGGGCTAGGGAGTTCTGACCCGAAAGAAGCGTCTGCTGATTCGAGAGGGAAGAATCACTGGATGAGGGAGAGAAAATAACAAAAGGTTACATCTTGGATCCCATGGCCTCCGTATTCTCTACGAGCTTGCTTGTTGAGCGCTCCATCTTTTGTTGCCAGAGCTAGAGGATGATAAAAATCGATTCAGGAAAACACTTTCGACTCGTGAATAAAGCAAATCACATCCGCGTGATTTAAAAACTGTATGTAGATCTGAAGAATCGGGTCTGGGAGAGCGGACGTACAGGTTCTGATTGCCGTTTTGCAAATATACTTCTTGCTCTTCGTATCTTGCAAATAGCAATTCATCACATCCCAGACAAAGCGCATCTTTTGTTCCTTATTCATTTCGGAGCACAACGTTTCCACATTGTTTAGGACCTCCTATGAAAAAAGCGAGAGACATGAAACACACTTCCCAACAAGTGGGGTTCTCACTTCTTTCAACATACGACGTCCACTCTTCTTTTCCCCACTCTGCAACATGCTTAATCTGGCTGTATTGCTTGGCACTCTCTTCGGAGAGATCTGTTCATTAGCCAGTTGCACGCAGACTTACTCATTTCAGAGAATGCCACAGTCCAGCAAACGAGGAGAAGCATGCAACGAGCATCCCATCTCCTCATTTCTTTTTTCATCAGTATTTATTTTTAATAAAAAGGAATTGTAATCAACTCTTCTTCCTCTGCACACCCTATTCTCTCCCTGTTTCTCCAACAAACATGGCAAAGCAAACGATTAATACACACGCGCCTTGGGCGGAATGGGCTTCACTTCGTTCTCGTCCAGCGTGTTCATATGCACGGGACGGTACATCAGCTTGGTGGTTCCCGTTCCAAACAGAGCGTCGTCGTGGTAGGCCACGGTGTGCTTCAACCAGTTCACGTCATCGCGCTCCTTGTAGTCCTCGCGCGCGTGGGCTCCACGCGACTCCTTGCGCGCCTCGGCAGCGATCATGGTGCAGTGTGCCTGCTCGAGGAGATTCTGGAGCTCGAGCGTCTCGATGAGATCGGTGTTCCAGATCATGGAGCGATCGGTGATGCCCACGTCGCGGATCTCCTTCACCACCTCGTTCATGCGCTTGCATCCCTCCTGCAGCGTCTCCTCCGTGCGGAACACCGCCGCGTAGTCCTGCATGGTGCGCTGCATGCGCAGTCGCAGCTGCGCGGTGGGGATGGCGCCCTTCGCGTAGCGCAGGCGGTCCAGGTTCTCCAGACAGGCCTTGCCGGCGTCCGCGGGCAGCGGGGTCTTCGCCTCGCCGGGCTTGCTGATCTCGTTGATGTAGTTCGCGCAGGCGCGGCCGAACACCACGATGTCCAGCAGGGAGTTCGCGCCCAGGCGGTTGGCGCCGTGCACCGACGTGCAGGCCGCCTCGCCGGCGCACCAGAGTCCGGGCACCACCTTCTCCGTGTCCTGCTCCGTGGGCTTCAGCACCTGGCCGTGGTAGTTCGTGGGCAGTCCGCCCATGTTGTAGTGCACCGTGGGCAGCACCGGCACCGGCTCCTTCGTCACGTCCACGCCCGCGAAGATCATGGCCGTCTCGGAAATGCCCGGCAGGCGCTCCGCCAGCAGGTCGGCGGGCAGGTGGTCCAGGTGCAGGTAGATGTGGTCCTTCAGCTTGCCCACGCCGCGGCCCTCGCGGATCTCCATCGTCATCGCGCGCGACACCACGTCGCGGCACGCCAGGTCCTTCGCCGTCGGCGCGTACCGCTCCATGAAGCGCTCGCCCTCGCTGTTGCGCAGCACGCCGCCCTCGCCGCGGCAGCCCTCCGTCATCAGGCAGCCCACGCCGTAGATGCCCGTCGGGTGGAACTGCACGAACTCGGGGTCCTCCAGCGGAATGCCCGCGCGCAGCGCCATCGCCGTGCCGTCTCCCGTGCACGTGTGCGCAGACGTCGCAGAGAAGTAGCAGCGACCGTAGCCGCCGGTGGTGATGATGGTCTGCTTGCAGTGGAAGCGATGGATCGACCCGTCCTCCAGACACAGCGCCATCACGCCCACGCACTCGTCGCCGTTCATGATCAGATCCAGCGCATGGTACTCGATGAAGTACGACGTGTTGTACGCCAGCGACCGCCCGTACAGCGTGTGCAGCATCGCGTGGCCCGTTCGGTCCGCAGCCGCAGCCGTGCGGTACGCCTGGCCGCCCTCGCCGTAGTTCTTCGTCTGACCACCGAACGCGCGCTGGTAGATCTTGCCGTTCTCGCAACGGCTGAACGGAAGACCGTACGCCTCCAGCTCGCGCACAGCGCGCGGAGCCTCGCGGCACATGTAGTGAATCGCGTCCTGGTCACCCAGCCAGTCCGAACCCTTCACCGTGTCGTAGAAGTGCCAACGCCAGTCGTCCTCGTGCTGCACCTTCAGAACCAACGCACGAACCTCCTACCATGTTGCCGAGAGCAGCGTTCACGCCTCCCTGGGCAGCGACGGTGTGAGAACGCGTGGGGAACAGTTTGGTAATCACGGCAGTCTTGAATCCCTGCGCGTCAGCAAAATCACAGAAAAGCCAATACGTATTCAGAAAGACCCATAGCGGCACGCAGACCCGCACCTCCAGCACCGACAACCACGCAGTCGTACTCGTGGTCCACTACAAGCTAACTTGGCTACCCACAGTGCAAACCAATAGGATAAGCAGTGCCCAGATCCTTCGTGACCTTAGCATCTGCAGTATTACCAACTACAGCGGAACGGCAGGCAGTAGCTCGGAATGCTCTTGTCAGAGCCGGAGCAGTCTTTCCCATAATTCTGAAACTGGGCAGCATTTCTACAAGACTAAGCTATTCCACACAGGGATACTACTCTATATATCGAGTTTCTAAATAGAGAATAGACGAGCACACCGGAATCTGAATCAATACAGAATCAAGCCATTGGTAGGATTCCAGGTTCCGCCGTGAGCAGAAACCAATTCGTCCCGATTTTTGGATTCTCTGATTGAATGGAAATCTCCAGTGCCAAGTATTGTGTGACATTGAATAGGTAAGAATTGATGCCTGTGCGTTTTTGCAGGAGAATGAGGAGGAGAGCTTTGTATTTTTCGAATGTGGGACAAATCTAACTGCGCGTGTAGAAATGTTCGAAAAGGAAGTGGTTATTGATTGCAAGGGACACATCATGGGCCGTCTTGCTTCTGTCGTGGCCAAGGAGCTTCTCTCTGGTCAGAAGGTTGTGTGCGTCCGCTGCGAGGACATTAACATCACCGGAGGAAGTGGGGCGTGCTGGAGAGTGCTTACTGAATAGTGATGCGTAACCGTGTGCGCCGTGAGGCCTATCTTCGTAAGAAGATGAACACCAACCCTGCTCGTGGTGGCTACCATCAGAGCGCTCCTTCTGAGATCTTCAAGCGTGCTGTGCGCGGAATGATTCCCCACAAGACCCCTCGTGGAGGCAACGCGATGAGCAACCTGAAGTGCTTCGACGGAGTGCCTGCTCCCTACGACAAGAAGAAGCGCGTGGTTGTGCCCGCTGCTTACCGTGTGTCTCACCTGAGGTAGGTGGCGAGACATTGGAGTGAGGAAATAGACCCGATCGTGCCTACATCACTGCTGGACACCTCGCCAGCCAGTTCGGATGGAGATACGGACATCTCATTCAGCGTCTGGAGGCCAAGAGACTCGCGAAGTCGAAGGAGTATTTCGAGAAGAAGAACTCTGAGAAGAAGGAGGCTTCCGCGTAAGCTTGGTTCAAACATGTCACACTTTTGTTAGTTTGTTCTACTTGTAATTTTCGAGTGAACATGGAGTCATTGGTCGGAAAAGTAGCGTGCATTACGGGAGCATCTCGGGGTATTGGTCGAGGAATTGCTCTCGCCCTTGCGAAGGAGGGATGCAAATTGGGGATCTGTAGCAGGAAAGAAGCTGATATTGAGCGCTGCAAGAAGGAATTGGAAAAGTTAGGTGCTGACGTAATCGCTTGCCCCGTTGATGTGAGCAAGAAAGAGGAAGTAAGGAGCTAGGGTGGGCATAAACAAACAGATGACGCACTTCAGAGACTTAGTTTTGGAGCGTTTTGGTACCATCGATATCTGGGTACGATTGATGAGATTTCTGTGATTTCGTAGGTCAATAATGCGGGATACATGCCTATCAATCTTTTGGAAAATGGGAACATGGATGAATGGGACCGCACTGTCGATGTTAACTGCAAAGGAGTGCTCCACGGAATCGGCTGCTGTCTGCCGGTGATGAAGAAGAACAACTCCGGTCATATCATCAACCTTTCTTCAGACGGTGGTCTTCGCGTACTTTCTCCAAGCCTATCTCGAGTGTAGCAATTCAACTATCTCACCGTTTATTGCGCAACCAAGTATTTTGTGGAGGGCTTGTCCATCGGTCTCCGTCGCGAGGTCAGCGGCTACAACATCCGCGTCACAAACCTCCAACCCGGAGTAATCGTTCTGCTTTGGATTCCTGATGGATAGGATGTATCGACGGACATTGGCATGGACTCAACGGACAAGGAGGCGATCAAGGGCTATTATGGACGCGACGTGACGGAAGATGTTTCAGGTACGTGCAGCCGATCGAGTAAGAACCAAGATGACAGTTCGAGCAGCATGGAGGAAGAAGATGAGGCTCCGAATTTCTACTCGCTGAAGGTGAAGAACATCGCGGACACCGTTGTTTTCATATCCTAAGGAACCATTACCAAGTGCCTTGACTAAACGTGCTAAAACAGCCGACGAACGTGGCGATCAACGCAGTACTGATCGAACCGCAGAGAGCGCCTATCTAATGATTGTTTGTTGGAAAAGCATTGTTTTTCATCATGTTCCGGTGTTCCCGATTTTGTGTTGTCCCGAAACGTTTTTTCGCTACCGCCGCTAAAGAAGAGAAGATTGTCGAGGAAGTAGCCCAAACTACGGTAGACGCTGGTAAAGAGCTGGAGGACCGTGTAGCCCGCATGTTGAAGAAGCGTGGACACCTGAACATCAAAAAGAACCAGCGCATGAAGGACCGGAACGGAAATTGGTCGGAGTTCGATATTGTCTATGGATGGCCGATCCGCCACTATGTAGAGTGCAAGAACTATTCACACCCAGTAAAATTGGAGATGGTAGCCAAGTTCAAGGTGGGTTTTGTAGCAAGGAATGACGAATAGGAGGTGCTACGCCTACACCGCATTCCGAAGTCTCGTGGAATGTTTATTACCACGTCGACATACACCCCCCGAGCAACGACTATCGGAATTAACTGTATTGACGGTGCTGGGTTGGAGCGCTTGGAGAAAACGGCGACGACGGCGCTTCTGATCAAGTCCTGCATCGTTCTGGCGTGCTGCTTTGGAGGTGTCGGTCTGTATTCGCTTTGTTCGTTTTTCTTTTCCGGAAGTCTTACGCGTAGTGACGCAGAGCAATTCCCCCAAGATCCAGAAATGGAGAGAGGAGATCAGCAAGAAGAGCCAGGAAGTCTCGAAGCAGAAGAGCAGCGAGATGGCTGTGGCGGTTGAGAAGGCAAAGCAGAAGAGCGAAGAGATTCTGGAGGCCACGAAGCAGAAGAGCTCGGAGGTCGTCGAGAAGATGGAGGTGATGGAAAAGGCAAAGCAGAAGAGTAGCGAGATTCTGGAGGCCACCATTCAAAAGGGTGCGGAGGTCGTGGAGGCGGCGAAGCAGACGTCTGCAACGGCGGTGGAATTGGCGAAACAGAAGAGAGCAGAGTTTAGAAGTGAGGTGGCGGAATTGGAGATGGAAGAGAAAAAGATGAAGAAGGAGATGAAGAAGGAGATGAAGGAGCTAAAGGAACCAGAGGAGCCGGAGGAGCCGGAGGAGCCGGAGGAGGAGGAATGGGAGGCTCCGTCGATTGACGAAATATTGGGAACTCTTTTTAGAAGCTTGCTGGGTTATAAAAGGTGATTCTGCTGTTTGTTCGATTACACACTGTCTCCAACCTTGCAAGGTCCACGGCAATGGCTGGGGAGGGAATCGGGATCGCAAGAGTGTTTTTAGCAGAAACACTATTCAGAATAACCGCGAGTAACGAAGAAAATTCATTGCAAATTCATATATCTTCCCTCTAGTTAGACAAAAGCGAAATTGCTACTGTGTAAGACTTATTTGTGGCCATGTATTTAGTAGAAGTAAACTAAACACATGAACTCTTCGCAACCAGGTAGTATTCTTGCGAGCCCGTGAAATGCAGAAGCTCTCAATTTAGACGTGTCCGCAACAGTTAGGCAATTATTCGTACCCTCTGGAGTGTATTCTTACCAAACTCCCTTTTTTGCTTTGCCATACGGATGTCAATCTAATCCATACTATGGTGGCGAGTACGTGGTGCCCTTTCCTTTTCAAGCGGTCCAATATCCTTTACAGGAAGGAACAACGGGGTATATATCTGAAGCGAATTACCCTGCGATTCATGTCAATAATTCTACAGCGACAGGTACACTCCGTTGGTCCTTTTTACCATCGAGGCTTAGGACCCGTTTATTCCGGCCTAAATCAGGCCAATCTTTCTACTCCTGTTTTTAATCTCTCTTACCCTCTTATCTCTCATAATGTACAACAGAATGGTTCTCATTTTCAACAGTTTACATCAGCCAATTTCCTTCAGAAAATCCATGAAAGTAATTCGAAACCTTCTTTCGATTCCCCCAACTCGGCCAGCTATTACTACCAGCCAAGCCAGTTCTTGTCGAGTCGCACGTCTCCTTCCGAGCTGAAGCGTCCCCGCTCCTCGTGCGACGTATCTCCGCCATCCAAGGTCTCCCATGATGATGACCTTGTCAAGATGCTTTGCATGCTGCGTCTCAACAAGCGCGACTCCTCTCCCTCGCCCCCGTCCTCGCTTCCTCCAGCGTCCTCGACACGTGGCCTCAGCCACACGATCTGTCCGTACTGCCAGAAGCGCAACCCTGTGGAATCGTCGAACCCGCCCGCCACCTTGACCTGCTTCGCCTGCAACACGTCCTTCCCGCTCGTCCGTCGCTATCTGCACGACTACCAAGGCCATCTCGATGCGGACGGGTCGTTGGAGCTGCCGTGTCTGCGCGGCGTGTCGGACCCCGCGACCCGTGAGGCGAAATTGCTCGCCTACACGAGCACGGTGCTGTCGGGGCGTCGCTGCAGCTTCTCGACGCAGATCCGGGAGATCCAGAAGCTGCTGAGCGCGCTGGTGGCGAAGGTGGACAAGCGCGTGACGCGGGAGCTGCACCACGTGGAGGAGGAGTGCCAGCAAGTCGTGGAGAGCTTGCTGGGGCGCGTGGAGCAGTACTGCAACGGCGAGCTGCACTGCCACTGCCTGCAGCCCGCCTTCGCGCAGCGCCACTTCATCCAGTGCGACGTCTGCGATCTCTGGTTCCACACGAGCTGCGTCGGCGTGGACTCGCGGAAACTCGCGGGGATCGCGTCGTTCGTCTGTCCGTGGTGTCTGGATCCCGCGCAGCGAAGCCAGGAGCCCGCGCAGCCCGAGGAGGCGAAGGCCTGCGTGTGTCCGCTCTGCGACCGTGTGTTTCCGCGTCCGTGTAATCTGTCGCGCCACCTGCACGCGAAACACAGCATGAAGTGGCACACGCACGTGATGCTGCATCTCGATGTGAACGACTATCTCGAAGTGGATCCGAAGGCCTCCAATCTCGCTCGGGGAGCCATCACCCATCGCGTCTGTGAGGGATGCTACGCCTCGGAACATGCGACCGAGGAGTACAACATGACCAAGAGCCAGTTCCGCTTCCTTCTGCGGAAACTCCGAGTGAAGCCGCCCCAATGGTGGGTGGGGAAGGAGGTCCGCGTGTGGGACGCCCGGACGGAGAAGATGGTTTTGGGGGTGATTAAATGCATTCGGCCACGAAGTGAGTTCTGCATCAAGCTGAAGAACGGATCGACTATGATGGTAGGAAACTTATTCGACCCTCAGTATCGAATCCGGCTGTTGATTTTAAATGGAAACTTCGAGCTTGAGTTGCTTTATGCTCTCCCTACAAAGTGGATTCGCGATGTTCATTCCGATGTCTGCTTGTTCATTAAATAAGAGTTAGTAAGGAGGCGGTAATGCGTCTCTGATTATGGATATTCTGATTATTTTACCTGTATTTCTTTCTTGTCTCTATGTTGTTTGTGACACATCTTAGCTTAGACATTTAATTGGGGAAGGGAACGAATCATAGGAATCATACTATAGTGGGAGTGAAAGAAATCATAGAGAAATAAGAGTAAAAATAATCGTTATGGGAAAGTAACGGAAATGATAATAAGTGGGAGAAGTGAATAAGTCTTAATAAAAACAAAAACTAAGGGTTCGTTTAGTATGAGATGAAAGTGGAAATAACTCTCGATTCCAGAATCGAAAAAAATACAGGGATTCGACTTTCCATCCTCGATCTGTACAAAGGAAATGGCATTGATTTTCGAAATATCTTGTACAGCACATGCGAATATCGATATTATACCCTCTCTTTGAGTACGATTCAAAATAACGTAACAATCGCTTGATTCTCAATCTTCCTGCAGGAGAAAAATGTCTCTTGTTCACCATCGTATTTTCTTTATCTAGCCACTACCTTCCTCACGATTTCACGGTGTAACAGTATCTTTCGTAAAGGGCAAAAATACGAACGATTTCTGGAAAATGAAAGTGCGTCATCGTGAAAACATAGTTCATCTCATAATTTATTTTGTAAGCATGAAATCTTCTCTTCTTATTCTTGCTCTCTTGAGTATTGCCCTTGCCGATAAGTGGGCTCTTTTCGTTTCTGGTAACAACGGTTACTACAACTACTGCATTACCTCCACCATTTGCAGAGGTTACACCATCCTTCACGACGCTGGTGTTGCTGAGGATCACATGGTGTACCTGGGCTTCAATGATGTGTTTGACGACAAGAGGAATCCTTTCGCTGGAAAGATTTTCACTGATCAGGATCCCGAGGGACCTGGTATTGATTACGCTGCTGGTTGCCGCCCCCACATTGATTACCCCGATAAGATGGTGAGCGCTGAGCTGTTCATGGCTACTCTGAGCGGAGACAAGGAGGAGGTTACGAAGCTGACCGGAGTTGAGAATCCTAAGGTGATTGAGTCTGGTCCCGAGGATACCATCTTCGTGTACTACATGGATCACGGTGCCATTGGTTTCTGCGAGGTCGGAAAGTCGGAGCTGTATGAGGACGTTCTGATGAAGACCATCGACAAGATGTTCGAGAACCATCAGTACAAGCAGCTGGTGTTCTACTTCGAGGCTTGCCACTCTGGTTCGATGTTCCGCAAGCTGGAGAAGGGCAAGAACGTGTACGCCATGACTGGTTCTGATACCGAGCACTCTGCTTGGATGAACAACTGCCCTCCCAACGATGTTGTGAACGGAAAGCACATGGGAACTTGCTTGGGAGCCTGGTTCGATAACTTCTGGATGCAGGAGGTCACTGACAACGGTGCTGAGCTGACCAACAACGAGATGTTCAAGATTGTCCACGAGAAGACTGCCGCCGAGACCGACCAGAACGTGTCTCAGTTCGGAGACATCGACACCATCGGAGAGACGCCCGTCAAGGAGTACATTGGTGACTACGTCCCCAAGAAGAAGGTGGTCATGGAGCCCAAGTCGATGGTCAAGTACGAGGATGTGCCCAAGCACCTTGCTATGTGGAACGCCATTCGTGCTGAGCCCAACACTCGCAGCGATGCCATGGCTGAGCTGGAGAACGTTGTGAGAACCGAGGCTCGCAAGGACATCATGGTGATGCGCGCTGCTCGTGAGTACTTCAAGGACGACAAGCTCGCTGACGCTGCCACCAAGACCCGCCCTGCTTCCTACAGCCAGGAATGCGTGAGAGACATCACCACCTCCCTGATGGCCGTGTGCGGTTACTCGCTGCCTCTGCGCGACACGCATGTGACTGTGATGGAGAACATTTGCGCCAAGGGTTACGTCCAGCTGGACTACACCAACATCTGCTAAAGCAGACGAAGGATATGGTTGGTTGTTTGTTGAACAAAGACGCGTAAAATGTCACAATTTCTTGCAGATCGATCGTAATATAGCGCTTGGGATGGCCCGCAGTGTTCAAAACGCAGGAGTGGTTCTGATAGGTGCCCTTCAATGCACTGACCACCAGAGATTGCATCGGCCAGTCGTCTTCCCAGAGCGCGTCGTGCTCATCGAAGAACTGGATCTCGGAATTGACGTCGCTGACCTCTAGCGTTTTCACGTTAACGAACGCGGAATGAGGCAGTCGGACATACTGCAGCTTCGGGAGATCTAGAGAGCACCCGGCCGCCAAGCTCTACTTTGAAAAATGAGAATGGTGACGGACGGAAAAGCCCCTTCAGGAAAGGAGATTCGCTCCAGCTCCACCAGATCTACAGCTCGTCGCCCCATCGCACGCCCACTTCGGAATTCGAGCAACGGTCCGCAGTGGAAGCAGTCCTTGCCGAACGAGACCCGCCGGAGCGAAGACAGGCCTACGAAATGATGGGCGGGAAGGCGAAGCGACCTGCGGCGAAACAATTCACCGAAGGATTGCTGACCTCCTTGAAATCGCCCTCCTTCTGCGCAATCAACGGAAACAGCGTCGTGGATGTGAAAGATCCGTCCCCCAGGATCACCGATTGGACCGACGGGAACACTATTCCTCACGCCCTCCCCCCAAATGGACTTTGAAAGCAGAACGTGGGAGACAACTGGAAGCAGTTTCTTCCAATCTCCATGGTTTTCAGATACGTCATGGGCACTAGCCTCGATTTCCTTCCCCGTTTCTACCTTCCACGAGGAGGGAAGCCGTCGGGAACGCGTCATCCTCCACGACCATCGATCCCTCGCTCGCCGTCTTCATGAACGCCGTGCTGATCCGCAGAATCGACGCATCGCGGAACGACTCCTTTCCGAAGTGCACGCTTTCCAATTCGGGCGCGTTCAGATTCAGTTCTCCCACACATTGGCACGCGCGACTCCCCACAAAGAGCGTCTTGAGCCCGGACGCGTTGGTCAGCTCCAAAACCCCGAACACGCCCGGCGTCTGGACCATCGCGTCGTCCTGAATGGTCAGATGCTGCAGGCTGCGGCAGCCAATCAGAGAGAGCGATCGGCACTGCGGGAGGCTTCCCTCTTCGATGAGGAGCGACTGGAGCGTCTGGCAGTTGCGAAGCAGAAGCGACCGCAGCGCAGGGAAGTGGCTCCGCTGAATCGTCTGCCGCTGGGGAAGCGAGCAGTCTAGCGATCATCGAAGAAGGGAAGGCGAACACTCCAGGACGAGAGTTCGCAAGAAAAGATACGGCTCTGCGAAGACAAAAGGGGAACTGGAGAAACTGCAGTCCTGCACAGAGGGAGGCAGCGCGTTGCGGAACTGGACGGGATGAGAGATGGAGTAAAAGTGGAGCGAGCGAACACTGCAAAGCGCACAGATCGAATCGACGGCGGGCAGAGACTGCGGTTCGGCTGCGCTCTGCGCGTCCAGGCCGTTCCAGCAGTCGATTTCCTCCCCCATCATGCGAGCCATCGCCGCGTACAACGTCGGCGGTTCCTGCGATACGAAAAGCGTATTCACAGCAAACGACACGCGAAGACACGGGTCCAACGCGACCACACTCTCTGGAATCTGCGAGTGCGCGTCGAGTTCGATCGAAAGCGAGCTCTGCGTGAGGTTCCACGCGTAGAGGAAGCTTTGGAGAGCTGACGAGAGCGGAATGGCCTCGTCCCCCACGCGCACGCGCGTGATTCGCTTGACGATCGCGCCGATTCCGCGCGCAGTCGGGTCCGAAACGAACGGAATGACGGGCGACACTGCGAAGTGCGACCAGGGCCGCAGCTCCGCTTCGATGGCGACGTCGCCGGTCCGGACCACGCCGTGCGCCTGGCACACGCCTTGCGCGAACTCCGCCTCCACCGACACGCCGTGAGGAAGCACCAGGCGGCCAGGGCCGTGGGGAACGCCGTGCAGCACCGGGCCTTCGTAGTAGTAGTCCACGTCGTAATACACCGTGGCTTGGGAGGGAGGAGATGGGCTGGTCCGAGGGGAGATGATGATGATGATGATGTTGTTGTTGTTGTTGTTGTTGTTGTTGTTATTATTGTTGTTGCTGTTGCTGATGATCTCGCATTTCTTGTTGAGGGGAGTGAGGAAGGGTTCCAAAACGTCGGGAAGAGAATAGTTCACTTCATGAGGGGTACCGGAAAGCTGGATCATAGCGGGGTCGAGATTGCTGCATTCTCTTGTGAATATATATAGTAACTAGGAAGTAAAAAACAAACGAAAAGCCCACCAAACTTGATTTGTTGTATATCCAGCTAAGAAGCTTAGAAAGAACTCTCTGTCGCTACCTATCACAAAGCCTCCGTAGCCATACATGAGATAAAAAGGTTAGACGGTCGATTAACACAAAAGAGCCCTACCGGTTATTAATAAAAAAACAGAAAATTCGTACGGGGTACTCGGCTGATATACATTTCCAAGTTAAATAATCACCCAACTACACAGAAGAACCATTTCGCAAGATACATCGTCTTTTATAATTCTGTGGTATTCTTTACGACATATCGGGCATGGATAGCCATACTACACGATCAGAACAGCATTACACGAGTACTTTCAAATTATGCCAAATGCATGCTAAACAAAATCGGTGAGTGCACTCCTCAATCCTTGAGTCGGTTGGGTGCTCATAGCACAAACCTATATGAAAATCACGCAACGAACCTACTGCACGTAGTGTTACTTTCTCTAGGATATGCTACATATCTTTTGGCGATACTTTCAAATGATTCTGTCATAACAAAGAAATAAAGTATGCTGCTACGACTCTCAGTCAAAAAGTTGGTGGGTTTACGTGTTTGACGAAATTCAAAAATATGGATGTCTTGTCAGCGATTTCCAACAAAAATCGAAAAAGAGACGTAACACATCCTAACTTTGTGCTGTGTGCATAACCGCGATTATTCGTTTTTTCGGGTAGTCGTAGAGTATACTCTTTATACACTAATAAGAATAACGTGTTTGGAAATTGGTGGGCAAGGAATACAAAAACACAGCGATTACACAAAATTAAACCACCCTTGAAAGGGAGTTTCACCGATGACATGAGATGCAAGATTACCATTTATTCTAATTCGCTATTACTAGTTCGAAAAGAACAGACAATTATGGAAGCTACGGCTGCCGAGACTCCAGCGGATGCCGCGACTGGAGTAAAGTCTGTGAAGTGTTCCATGTGTCGTAAAGTCAAAACGAGCGACCATTTTATTAACCCTAATTCGGACACTTTGTTCCACGTTTGTGATAACTGCCGCTACCTAAGAAAGACGAAGTATAAGAGTAGGTGCCTCTTCGGTTGTTTTGATGGGTAGAGAAGCGTGTGAGGGTGGAGCTGGAGAGGCCCTCAAGTGGATTATCTCGGAATCGGGACTCTAATGGGTTACGTTCTACACGTAACAGCTCAATGTCAGGAAGGAATTTTCCGTCCTCTGCCCGACAAATTCCAGTGAAAGAAGAAATTGGGGGTAAGTTATCACCTAAGAAACTAGCATTCACATCAGTGGTTCCATCAAGAAATTGGGTCGAAATATCTGATGAGAACCATCCAAACTATGTTCCTAAGAACCGGAAAGTGTGTATCTTTACCGACGCGCAATATGCCGTAAATCATCCGTATTATCGATATCAGGAGGTGTTATCAACATTGTGTACGCCTCCGCAGGTGATATATAACAATGATGAGGAGTCCGTTACCGTTCTCCATTCTTCCATTCCTCCTACACCACAATCGCTTATTTTTTGTTGCAAAACTTCGGCCTATGGAAACCGGTTTGCGTTCTATGACCGATTATGGATGAACCAGTCGTAATTGGGTCTTGCAAGATTTGCGAACGGCCTGGATTGATTGGTATTATTAATTATATAATGTAGTTGTTATTGCTGGATCTTCAAGATCTTTTTCTTTTAGAATATCAGTCTCTAGTTGCTAATTGTGTGTGGACGCTGTTTGTTCGAAATGCTTCCTTCTCTCTTTTGCGCCTACTGCTTCCAGGAGATACAGGATGCCACGCACATTGTCTCTCTGCAGTTTTCGCCCGAGCAAGTCGTTACCTTTCACCCGAAATGGTGGAATGTGTCTCGATGACGATCATTCATAGCTACAAATCGTATCGAGCGAAATTCGCGCTTCTGCAAAATGTGATTCGGTGCATCAATGACGGAAGCTATATCGTGTTGACTGGTGTCGATTGTAACGTGCAGAATCGGCTCGAACAAAAGAGGCCACTCGCAACGCTTTCGCTGGCCGTGCCTAACCAGTCGGAGAGAGACTACGTGTGCCCGATCTGTTTCGAACACGTTGCGGACCAACTCCTTCTTCCTTGCCATCATCGTCTCTGTGCGGAGTGTTTGCTCGATTGGAGGCGAAAATCGCTACTAAAGAAACACAAGGGAACGCAGTGTTGTTTCTGCAGACAAACAATCCAAGATATCGAAGTTCTGTCCCTTTAACATACTTTGCAAGTTTCATTGTTTCCATACACCATCACAAGCTCATTCATGTACCTCAGACAACTCTTAATTCTTTTGTCGTGATCGGAATGCAGGTAATCCAAACGATAGGACGAACTACTCCTCACTCCCCGTTCAAAAAAACTCACCTTGGATGTAAAATGTCATTCGAGAACGAATTATGTAAAACGTAAAACACATGGTCTACGATGTCTCTTCCCCCTCACTCCCCACTTGTGAATCGTAAGTGTTCGATCATCTGCACCTTGTTGCAACCATAATTCCGAAATTCGGTATTAAACCAGATGAATTGGTACTCGCGCTTCAACATGACGTACGGCTCTTGAAATCGGTTGGGAAAACATTCAATCCGGCTGATCTGCGGCTCGTCCGTCTCCAGCCAGTCGCGCGAGAGATACAGCTGCGTGTGAGAGAGAGAGAGAGCGAAAGCCGAGTACATGATTTCGATTCACTCCGCCCTTCTCGAGGGCGCAGCGTCGCCTCCGGACGCATTTGCGAAGCTCCTCTTTGGTGCTCGGGAACAGCTGGCTCGACATGTACGTGCAGTTCTCCAGCGTCTGGCAGATCCGCGCGAGCCGCTTCGATCGGAGGAAGATGGACGGCACGATCACGACGTTCTTCTCGTTCTGCGTGATCGTGGAGTTAATGGAGGTCAGCTCCTCGTACAGATTGGCTATCCATCAAAATCTCCGCATTCCGCGCACGCGCAGGCCACATGTCCATATCCGTAACGAGGTAGTGCGATGTCTGAACGAGCAGGATTCCGAGGTTGCGAAGCCAGTTGATGGGGAATCCGGAGGAGATGGAGTTCTTGATGACGATGAGAACGCGCGTGCGGCTGGGGAGAATCAGCTTGGCGAGCTGCGGGGGAATCACGTTCCGCGAGTGATAGCAGTACAGCACGAAAACCATTGGACTGCGGTCAGAACGAGAGAGAGAAAGAGACGCCTACCCGGACCAACGCTCTTGGAGATGGGGGATGAAGAAGATTCGCGATGGACTGCCGATGAAGCGATGGAAAAAGACAAACGTGAGCACGGAAACGAAGGTCACATCCATGGTGTCGACGGGAGGAAAGCGGTCTTTCGACCAGTGGATCGGGTAGGGGACAAGAGTGTTTTCGTGGTACAGGAAGCAGTTCGTGCAGATGACGTTGAATGGAATTTGGCCGCGAATGCGAAGTGCTAGTGGCTGGGTAGGGAGAGAAAAAACGTACGGACTGTAATGTTAGGTCCCAAACTTTGTAACTGTTCCTTAGAAAACTTAAAAAACTTGTTCTTAATGGACTTATTCGTAGGTGGAAAAACAGAAATTGCGGGCGGCTCGCTAGGATTCGACCTAGCCTTATTGCTAATAGAATCTAACTTTTCGCTCATAAAGCAAACGCTAAGAGTCAGCAAGTCAGAATGTGCAGGTGTACAATCGTAACCAGCTGAAGAGCAGGTTGAAAATCAAACTATTCATTTCCGAGCATTCTTCCGACGTTTTTGTTATAATAGATGGAACTATTATCGGGAAAGGTCGAAAAAAAGGTAGAAATCTTTCCTTGTCAGGTACTGGCAATAATTCCCTGGAGAATTGGAGAGAGCAATTAAAGGCATTCTCTCTCCTAACAATAGTCCAAGTTTTCTACATGGGCAAGTGAATGAAATACGTACGGTTAAATGTATATTGGCCAGTATTTGAGAAAATTGAGAAAGAGGTAAAAACAGAATAGAGTAGCAACTACACATCAACAAACCAGGTGACTATTACAAAACTATTAGGGAAAATAGTGCTATGAAAAACGATAAACGCATAGAATAGAGCTAGAAAGAAACTCAGCCAATCTGTAGTAGTAGGAAAATGGCGCATAAAGCGCGAAAAATTTTTCGGCCTTTTTTCTGCCATTTTTTTCCTGACCTCCTTTTTTCTACCTGACCTCCTTTATTTCTACCTGGTCACCTCGAGTACCATGGCGCATAAAGCGCGAAAAATTTTTCGGCCTTTTTTCTGCCATTTTATTCCTGGCTGCCTTTTTGACCATTGTCTGCTTGCCCACCTCGAGTACCATGGCGCATAAAGCGCGAAAACCTTTTCGACTATTTTCTACCAATGTGGTAATTGTCTGCCCTTTATATAATGGTGAAGAGAGAAAGATTATGCACTACTCCATGCTTATTCAAGGCTCACCTACCAACGGCTCATTCACTTGGATCAACCCGTACAAGTACAAGAATCCTTACATCACTTCCATGACTGTCCTGTTTCGACCCAAGGATGCCCAGGCTATGTTCAACAACGTGGACACGACGAATGTGATTACTAACAGCAATGATGAGACTGTGACGATCCCTGCTGGTTATTACACGATCAGTGAGATCATTGCCTTGCTCAATACCATGACCGATACTACATTCTCCATATCCACGAATGCCTCGTCGTTCGGTTGTATCTGGATTCAGTCTCCACACACCATTGATTTCACAGATGCACCTGACATTCGTGAGATCCTCGGCTTCGATGGACGAACGGTCATTCTACCTGCTTCGTTCAGTGGATCGAACGTGATTGATATCACGCGAAATCGACAAGTGATTCAGGTCTACTCGACGATCGTGCGATCATCGGACCTGAAGATTGCCAACCAGAACAACAACCTGCTCACCACGATGATTATTGACGATCCAACGGCTGACTATGTGCGAACTGTGGAAGACGTGTGCATACCAATGATCACTCGGTTTGATCAATTGATGTTCGTCTTCCGCGATATGGATGGCAAGATGATGCGACTGAACGGCGAATTCGAACTCCAGTTGACGATTGATGACGTGTATGATGAAGTGCCTTCATCGATTGCCTCTAAGAATCAGTTCTCCATGATTGAAGTGTTCGGCAATACCACGAAGAAGGAAGTGAAGCTGGACAATCCTCTCTCATTCGATCAGTGCTACATCTCGTCTGTGTCGTTGTATACGGACTTCGTGTTGCACAACGTGCCGACTGATCAAGTGGTGCTAATCAATGCTGGCAGTACGATTCAAGAGATCACGATACCACGCGGTGCATACGACATCGAAACGATCATTGCAAAGCTGAATGCAAGTGATGCCCTGTTCGAATTGGTGTATAGCGGTGAGAATGCGTTCCACATCACGGTAGATCATTTCTACATGATTGATTTCACGAATGCACCAGAGATCCAATCGATCCTTGGTTTCGAATCGGACATCTTGGTGAAAGGAGTGGATAACCCGAAGCGCTACTACATGTCTTCCTCGTGTAATCACGTGGTTGTTACTGATGGCAGGGAATCGCACATGTTGACATTGCCTGTCGGTTACTACACGTTCTCCGAGTTCATCGAGGCTGTCGGTGCTGAAATGGTGAAAGTGCTTCCACTCACGTCCATGACAATCGAGGATGATCATGTTCGCTTCAATGTCCAAGCAGACGGATGGTATTTCGATCGATCCAGTATTGACACGACGATCGATGGTTTTGGTTGGACTCCATGGTTCAAATTGGCATCAACGGTACGAAATCTGTGCATCGAACGACCTGTGGAAACTTCGTTCAACCCTGAAAGCGATTCACCACCTGATATGACGAATGATCAAGGTATTGGTGGTCATGCGTACATAGGATCAAACACCTTCATTGCGTATGACTGGAAAATGCGTACAACTGATAATCGGTTCCTGCTAAAGCCTCTTGTGACATACACGATGCGCCTAGCTGATGGCTCAGTACTCGATAGTGGTGAATTCTACATAACGGACGATACGTCTACCCCGATCAAGATGAATACTCTTACAACCACATGTTTTAATGAGCTCAATGCTCGATATGCGAGTGCTATGGAACTACCTCCATCTCACCAGAATGCGATTGCGTGGACGGTGAATGACAATAGAGAAAGCATGTCATGGACTGCGAAGGACTATGCACCAGAATTGGAATTGCATATCACATCGGAAAATACAGGTGACTTGGTGTCATCGAATGGTTCTTCGATCGGACCTTGGTATTCCAAGGATAGTATATATCACACGAGAGTGTTTATCGATACGACGAATTTTATACTTGGAATACGTGGATATGGCGAAAGACCTCTCACAATCCAACGAGGTCATTATAGCGCTATTGATATCGTGAATATGATCGCTAATGTGATCAATAAGATATATGTAGATGCATCTCTCGGAGGGTACTTGGTATATGTCATTGCAGATAATGGTGGTCGAGTACGAATGGGATGTCGAAATGGTACAGAACCACGATTCATATTGTTTTGTGATAATCCATGTTTCAAGATTATACCCGGACCATACGCTGAACCAGGTGGTGTGTATTTGTCTTGTTATTTCGAGTTTTATCGCAATTACTACATCAGGATGCCCGAGTTGACATCACCTTACGAGTTTGCGATGGCAAACATCGATGGACTGAATGTGACGAATATGATCAAAGGTAGTACGTATTCCGATCGTGCTGTGTCGATCGAATTCATACAACCGACACGTGTTACGTATGTGGGGAAGCAAAGCTTCCCCGGGGCAGCGAAGCTGCCCCACTATGTGAGGAATGATGAAGTTGTTGTTCCATCATTGGCTACCTTCGTTGACTGGGATCAATCTGAGTCGTACATGACAAATACAACGATTCGCTTCCCGTACGGAATGATGACACTGGACGAAGAGGGAAGCAGTGCTTCCCCCGAGACTGATATCACGTACACAGATGACGTTCAGACATTCACGTGGACCATACCATCACGGTTGACACAGGCTGACATGATATGGCACATGAACCAGTGTTTTGACTCGGCTGCACTTGACATACGATGGAAAGCTGAGACAGATGGGTACTACATTCACGCGGACTACGTGTTCTCGTTGAGCGGCAACCTTGGCACGATCATTCCCGCTTCAGGATCGCAATCGCATACATGGCGTATCCCTTTCGACGATGGTGTGTACTATGCCAACTATGGT